CATGAATGTTCTTTCATTCTCTGTACTATCTGTTCTTACTGTGGGAGCAACGTTGGCCCACCTAATATGGTGCCTCTGGAGCAGTGGCCAGCAAATCTGCCCTTCAGATGGCAGTATGACGTAGGCCATTCTCCAGGCGGGCATTAGAAGAAAAAAAAAATTTCAAACCTATCATATACCTTATATAGTTATTTTATTATACCTTATATTGGTTATTTTTAAAGTGAGCTACAACTATTGTACATATACATTTTTATAACCTTATATAACATAGAGATGATTGTGCTTCCGAAAAAATCTGGATTTCCGGATTTTTCGCTTACCACGATTCGGAAGTTTCCGGCTATCCAAGGTCAAGAAGTTTCAAGAAATCATCGATCACATTTATGTTTAAAAATTCTTGTATATTTTATTTAAAAATATTAGAACTAGAATTTATACTTGGCATCTTTTTCATTTGTAAATATTTTTTCTGGCAGAATAAATGTGATTAGAAATAAAAGTAAACTTATAAATAATTATTCATTTAAATGATGCTGCAAATAATTTCTTTAGAATTTCATGTTTTGAAAATATCAATGATTTAAATTTATAAAGACATTAATTTTCTTGAAATGCGTCATTAATGATTTTACTCAAGAAATTTTCAGGATTTTTAAACTGGGCTCACAATCACCCCTGAAACATACTCTGGGAATTGACCCTCTTTACTTTATTGTGTCATATCACAAATTAAACTTTTTTTTTGATATTGTAACTGAGTATTAAATCCTTTTGATCTAAGATACTCAAAACCTCATTTAAATGACAATTTTTTTAAGCCAAAAATTGTTTTTGTTAATGATATTTAAAAAAATTTCTACACAAGTCACTGTTGGCTTTCCGAACTCATTTTGTAAGTATTTAATTTTGTTCCTTTGTATGCTTTTGGTAGTGATAATTAATGTGTTTTATTTAAATTTGTAGAATTGAGATTCATTTCAAGCTTATTTGATATTCATTGTAAAGTTTTTTTTTGCTAATGTCGCTTGTTTAACCTAAAAACTTTTCTGTTCATTCTCAAATCAATTAATTAGCTTGCAATTCAAGGTTTTGCTGAAGGACACCTTCTAGGGAAGAAAGTCAGCTATAAATTATAATTTATTTTTATACATTAAATTTTTTTATTTATTTTAGGTAGCTAAAAACTTTACATTTGTGGGGATATATGTTCATTTTGAAAAGTGCGCAAAATAAAAAGCGGACCAATCTCAATAACTTTTGGTCTAATGATCGGATCTTCACATTCTATGACCCAATCTTAAAGGTTTTAGAGGGTGACATCAAATATTTTAATTAATCATTGCAGACGATATTTTAAGTTACGAATTCAGACACAACAACGTACTTTTTCTGAATAAACATACCTTTATTTCGACGGATTTGGCTTTCTGACTCCCAAAATATTGGAGGTAACCGCAATCTGAGAGATATGGTCCCAAAAGTTTAGCCTGGAGATCGGTTCAAAGTTTGATCCCTTAGTGTTAATTTAATTTTTAGCGTATTTCTCCATATCTCAAGAACTTTTTAAGCACATAGAAACATTTTTGCACACAATTTTAAAATTCGTTTATCCAACTTTCATTCCATTCAAAATACAACTTTTAGTAAATATTTATTATTTTTATTATTTTACTTAATAATAGACGAAAAAATTTTGAATTGTAGCGTACATAATTTTTTGCACTATTTTCAAGTACATAATAGCAAAAAATAGCAAAATACAAAATTTGAACCAAGTTGGCCAAATAGTTTCTAAGAAATCGAATTTTTATAAAAGCCATATTTTTAAAATTCGATTTCTTTTGAACTATTCGACCGATTTCGTTCAAACTTCGGGTTTTTTGCCATTTAGAATGAGGTTCTTTAAAATATTGTAAAAAATTGTATACCTTACAATTCAAATTTTTTTGGACTATTATTCAATAACATAATAAAAAATAGTAAATATTTACTAAAAGTTGTATTTTGAATGGAATTATCTTCAAAAATTTTTTTTCAACAGGACAAATTTTTTTCAACAGGACAATTTATCTTCAACAGGACAAATTTTTTTTTTATAATTATGTGCAAAAATTTTTTCTATTCGCTTAAAATGCTCTGGAGGTATGTCAAATTACGCTAAAAATAAAATTAACATTAAAAGGGGTCCAAACTTAGTACCGCTCTCCTGGCCAAAGTATTGTGACGTTATTTCCCAGATTACAGCTACCCCTTATATTTTGGGGTAGCTGCAATCTTACCTTTAACAATTACTACCTTTAACGATCACTACCTACTATGTTACCTTTAACAATTCTTAATTACACATTTTTATTTATTATTGCCCCATATATATTGTTAATCCGTCTTAAAAAGGTATGTTTATTCAAAGAAAGTGTACTTTTGTGTCTGATTTCGTAACTTAAAATATCGCCTACGCTAATTAATTGAATACTTGAGCTTACCCCCTCGAACCATTAAGATTGTGTTCTAGAACGTGAAGATCCGATCATTAGATCAAAAGTTTTCAGGGTGGCTAGTTTATTTTTTCTTTGCGCACTATTATTGAATTTACCTGAAGTTAATTTTGAATTTTAATGCTCGGATTGACTAAATATATTTGAATTTTGTTAAAAAAAATTAAAAAAATCAATATAAATTTAAAAAATCAGTAAATAATAAACTAGAACATTCTGAATATTTTGTTCTCTTAACATATGTAATTTAAAAAACTTATTTTTAAAAAAAATCATTGTTTTATTACATGTCATTTTATCTCAAAAGGTTTGGTTTTGTAGCAATAAAGAAATCATGAGTATGGATAAAATTATTTTAACATGATTTTTGTAATACACTCATGTCCATAAATTAAGGATAATGAAGTTCAGGCACAGAAAGAGACAGAAGCCAAACAAATTTGACTTATTTGTAAAGTCTATGTATTAAACAAAAGGTAAAGAGCAAAAAAGATGCTATATGTTTGACATAATTAATAAAAATTGCGAGTTTTACTCCCTGGAGCAAATTTCAAAAAGAACCTATTTACAAAAAGCAGTATAACATGGTTAGTATGATGGTTAATACGGAGTATGTCTCCCGGGCGATGCAATACAGGCCGTACAACGCCCAGGCATGCTGAGTATCAAATTATCAATCTGATCTTGGGGAATATTACACCACTAATCAAGCAATGCCCTCCGAAAGTCCGGTAGACAGGTGGGAGGGGGTTGACGGGCTGCAATTCGTCGGCCAAGCATATCCCACACATTCTCTTTTGGATTCAAGTCCGGTGAGTATGCTGGCCAATCCATACTGGTGATATCCTCCGATTGAAGACATTCGTCTGCAATGTTTGCACGGTGAGGACGGGCGTTGTCGTCCATAAACAGAAATTCAGCACCCATGGCGCCCCGAAACAAACTTACATGTTGTTCCAGAATGACATCCCTATAGATGTGGCCTGTCATCGTCACACTCTGAACATGCAGGTTAGTTCTGGAACCAAGAATAATTCCTCCCCAAACTAGCCATCCTGCACCACCGTAACGGTGTCGTTCAATGGTGTTGTCTTGGTGGTAACGGGTACCTGGCGGGTACGGGTACCTCTCCATATGAAAGTTCGGCGAGAATCAGACTGCAAACTAAACCTGGACTCGTCGGAAAACATCACACAAGACAACTGTTGCGGTGTCCACAATGCATGCTCTCTACTCCAGGCTAATCGCAGGCGACAGTGAGTTGCGGTAAGTGGAACACATCTGACAGGTCTACGAGCATATAGACCAATGTGCCTTAAGCGTCTGTACACAGTCTGCCTTGAAACTGTCGTACCGGTAGCTGAAGAGACAGGTCTGATGCTGTGCTCCGTCTGTTTCTTTTGGCAGTAACTGCCAAATACCGGTCTTTATTCGGCGTTGTAACTCGGGGGCGACCTGTGCTGTAACCTCAACTCACATTACCATCATCTTGGAATTGTTTCCAAAGCCTGGAGATGACACTCTGGGTGATTCCAAGTTCCTCGGATACTTCCAGCTGGGTACGTCCACATTCGAGTCGCCCGATGATTCTGCCACGTAAAAAATCACCCAAATGCTTCCTTTGTGCCATAACTATGCGGTTATTGCACTGAAAGGCTTTAAAGCGCTTGTGAACAATTTTACTTCTTTGCCACCATTCCTTATATACCCCTCTCTTACACTCTCGTCATTGTGACGTACTACCAGCGTCATCTAGTGGTTTCCTGTAATTTGCATATTCTTCTTCAGGATGTGTGTAATAATTCTACAGGTGAAATTTTAATTTTACAGTTTGATTTCCGTGTGATTCTGAATTATCCTTAATTTATGGACATGAGTGTATTTTAATGAAAGCTTTCTTGCTTGGAATCTTAAAAGCATTTTTAAGGATACTATTACTTCCTCTGTGTATTTCGTTGGGCTTGATACAAATGTAGGTAAGTTCTTAAAAAAATTTGTAAAATGAATTGTTTCATCTGGAGAAAAATGTTAGTGACCACCTATGGGTGATGTCTAACACTCAAATACAAAGAATCTTTTCATATTTATTTACAAAACTGAATGTTATATTTAATACAGAAAAAGAATTTATCTTTTAACACTTCATACAATTTTTCACTTTAAACCACGTAACAATATAGAATATAACTGAAGTAGGGGAAAAACATGCTTTCTAATTTTATATTTAAATTCAGATTATTAATCAATATTTACATCTCTGCATTTATACTTTACATGTGTTTGTTTAAAACTTGATATTTTATAATAACATCATTTAATAAACATTTCATAAAATGTGAAAGATTTTTGTATATGGCATAAACCAATCAACTATGAATCCAATTTGATTTTAAAGCAGATCTCTAGATCATACGAATGATAAGTTACTATTTAGTAAGAAATGTATGAAATGTTTTTATATAATGTGACTCTAATTTTGCGTGTAACATAAAATCACTCAAAACCATTTTCTCTATTTTACTTAGATCACAAGATTTTTCTATCTAAGATAAAACAAAACTATGTCATATCATCATGTAACTGGCATGATTTAGAACAATCTACATATGAACTAGTATCTCATTGAGTCATTAACTAAAACAGCATGGTATATCAAAAGGTTTTCTGGACTGGAAACACATATTGAAATATGATTAAGTTGTTTCTCTCTTTTGTATTCCGAAGACAGTTTGTATAATGTCAACAGTAGTTTAAGTAATGCAGTAAATAAATACTTCCTTAGAAGACTGAAGATGATTTTTTTGGCAGACAGGTTTTGATATCACCTGATTATGAGTGTTAACTATACGGGACAGTAATTAAAATAAAATGAATTGTTTCATTTAGAGTTTGGTCTAATTAAAGACAGTCTTGAACTTGAGGATTGACTGTTTATGCATCCACTATTTTGTGGTGTAGATAAGTCTTCTGCTTCATCAGATCCACTACCTTCAGCTGGTTCTTCAACCAAATACCTGTCTCCTCCATCATTCATGTCTTCTTGAGGTGGTTCTTGTTTTACATGGATTTTTCTTTGTTCACTGAAAAGAGAAATACATTTGTTAAAAAAACTTTTTTGAATTAATCCTCTATTTTAAACTAATACTGAGTTAATTTCTTTTTCCAGTTTCAAATCACTCATTTAAAGGCACTTGTTGCAAAAACACTGAAGCATTATTAGTCTTAATAATACAACCATCGCAATTATTTTACCATTTGAAAGAGATATATAATGGCATACGGTAATTAGTTAGGATCCACTTATGTGAAAATCTGCCTGAAGATAATTACCAGATACAACCAATAACTAGTATTGATAGCACATGTGACTTTTTCTTGTGGGTCATTATTGAGAATATTGTTAAAAAAATCTGTTTTAATTACTCTCTTTGCTGTGTGATTTAGCAGAACTGTGTGAAAGGATCAGATATTCTGTCAATGCCATTGATAATACCAGAATTTAAAGAATCTGGCAGGACCTTAACTGGCGCTTTTGTGCATGCCCAGCAACTAGAGGTTATACATAGAACACCTGCAAAAGCTGTAAATAAAACGTGAAATGTTCTTGTATTTAGTGCAAGGTTCTAATAGCTGGTATTTGTCTTAGTTTTTTTTTTTTTTACTTTAGCCTTCTGAAACCTCGGGGGGGGGGGAAGGAATTTAATTATAAATAGCCTTGTATATTTCTAATTCTTTAGTAATGCGTAATATCATCGATGATTTATTTTATTATTTTTTAAAGCATTTTTACATTGTTATATACTGTTAAACATAATTTTTTCAGTTCTTGTGCATTACTTTTTTTTTAAGAAAAATGAATTAATAATTTTATTTCTGATTTAGGTACATTATGCTTTTGGCTAAAAAATCTAAATTTTTTGAAATATAGTTATTAAATAGCTCAATGTATTTGGGTACTATTCACAAGTGAATGAAGTTTGTGATGTATATAGCTAAAAAGTAAATAGGTATTTTATGCAAGTTTGTATTAATGAATATTTTTTTTTAAAACTGTAATCATTATCATCATAGTTGGCTAGACAGCCCAATGTGGGTCAATGCCTTCCTCTGAAGATTTCTTTATAACGACTTCCGATTTATCTTTGATCTCCAATTCTTTTCATTAATTGCAAGGAAACCGAGACTCCACCGAGTCAGCCCATCTCAACCGCAGCCTTCCCCGCTTTCTTGTTCCAGTGGGTTTAAAAATCAATAACTTTTTTATTGTATTGTCATCACTCATTCGAATCACGTGAGCCATCCAGTTCATTCTATTTACTTTTATGTATATAATAATATCGGGTTGTTTAAAAATCTTGTACAGTTCAAAGTTAAATCTCCTTCTTCAGTTATTGTTTTCATTTACACCGCCAAGCACACTCTGCAAAATCTTCCTCTCAAATATTGCGATACAATTTCCCTCCAGTTTTGTCATTGTTCAATTGTTTTTGAAAATAACATATATTTTGTTTTCTCTACATTTATGACTAAGCCCATTTGTCTTGCAGCCACCTCAAGGTCAAGAAATTCCTCTTTCAGGGTGGGAAGGGAGCCAGCAATTACATAAACATCATCAGCATATGCAAGTAGTTGTACTGATCTAGCAAAAATGTGACCACTGGTATTGATATGTGAATCACGAATAACTATCTCAAGTGCAATATTAAGAAGAAAACAGGTGAGAGAATCTCCATGTCGAACACCTTTAAATGTGTCAAGATTTTCTGACAGAGACTCCAGAAACTTAATCTTACACTTAGTATCTTTCTATGTAAGTCTTGTCAGTTTAATGAGTTTTAAAGGTATTTTAAAATTATTAATTTTTTCAACTTAACATAAGCTATTAAGTCATTCTGATGAGTTTGAGGTGACATTTTTTTAGTAATTTATAGATGTTAGTTTAAAAAGTGGCATGGTTAATAGATTTAGAAAGGGCTTGCTTTTTTGGCTGTCCCGATGTGGCCTCTTTTTACTATTACTGCTTTTTATTCTTATTGCTAGCCGTGAACCATCATACGTTAGAGTTAACATATAGTTCGAGCTGCGATATATATTAGGTTCATTTAGCAAATTATCATTTAAGTTTAAATTTCCAACTTTGTATATAGTTGACAAGGTGAGAAGTGTTTTATAACGATTCTTATAACGATTTTTTTTAAACACAAATAATAAACTTGGTAACAAATACACGTATACAAGAAATACTACTCAGGAGAGTTTCAAAACACTATGATCATGTTGTGAGCGAAATGGCTTCAAAAAATAAGAGTCCCGCAGTGGACTGATCGTTAAGACACGGTTTCCAGTAGATAACTGAAGTCAAGCATCACTGGCTGTTGTCAGTGTGCGGGTGGGTAACCACTTGGATCAGTCTGTGCAGGGACCAAGTGTGTGCGGTCCCTACACAGACTAATCCAAGTGGTCACCCACCACGGTTCTCGTTAAACTGTTCTATCGTAAAGTGCTCGACTTCGCGTGCAGGTCGTTGGGCTACCGAAGCTGGGGTGCCATCCCCGCTGCAGAGGATCAAAATTGTGATGGCATGTCTTCGAATCATCCTCAGGGATATTTCCCAGACCATCTCCAATATCCCATTGTGCAGCTCCAGTGCGACGTAAATGAACTATAACAACAACAAAAAATAAGAATTACTTGACTCTATCAAATTTACTAAATATTTAATATCGTTATTTTTGTCATACGTTTGCCAACTGGTAACTTTTCTTGGGATTGTTCACATGCTTCTCCCAAAAGAAGCGTAATTCGTCGGACACCACGTAACGAAGGCAGAACCAAGCGGCAACTCCTGGTGAGCGAACAGTACGAACCCTGATTAATTGGCGGTCAAAATGGGCTACAGGTGGCGTAGAGCAGAACTCTCTATTTATGGCAACACTTCGCTTGCTTTCACCATTAGCGCGTTTAGAGTCACAGGAGAAGGAAATACGTTAGTTTCTGCCTTGATATTCAAATATATTAAAAACCTTTGAGTTAGGAAACTGGATGGAACTGGAAACTACATTGAATATAATTCTTAAAGAAGCGTCCTGAAAATTTTAAAAATATATTTTTGACAATTAAATAAAAAAAAAAAATTAAGAAAGTGGAAAATATTGCAGTACATTCCTATACAACCGGTCTTCTCACCAGATGGCGTATTCGATTGTTGCGAATGTGAAATAAATTTTTAATTTACAAAATATTTTAGTGCAGATTTAAAGGTAATTACGTAAGCTAATAGTTTTAAAACTTAATGAAACTAAAAATTACCTATTTGTTATGTCTACTCCATGACATACAAGATTGGAAACAAAACTTTCTGCATCGCTTATGGCGCAAGAAGTGATATTTCCTGTGGTTGGGATGCCACGACATGAAGGAGGTATCACATTGTTATTCATTGAAGTAATACTTGAATAGTTCGGCATCTTATCTGAATTAGTCTGTAAAAGTTATTATTAGTTATGACAACTTAACAATCATTCTGTCGGAATTTTATACAGAATGTACAGTGTGTAGAATAATTAACGGAATCTTTTTCTCTTAACAACGTGTGATCTTATAATAAGAATTTCTTGTCCAAAAGTGCAATCTTAATGGTTCTTGAAATAGACCTTACATATACTAATTTTTGAAATAGACCTTAAATATATAATATTAAACAGTAGAGATTATATTTTAAGTTATGAAATGCGACACAAAAACGTACTTTATCGGAATAAAAATATATTTTTTTCAATGAAATCGGATTTGTCATTCAGAAAAAAAGAGGAGAGCTGCAATCGAGAAAATATGGTCCCAATAGTTCAGGGGTGGCGAACCTTTATGCACCAACGTGCCATTTTTTCTAAAATATATTTTAATGTGGTCATAGTCGTGCCGACAAATAGTTTTGACTTCATGATTATTGGGTAAGTAATAATACTAAATTTTATTAACTCAAAACTCTTTATTTACTACGAAAAAATGCAACTCTCAACTTTTGCAATGTCTCAGTTATACGCGTAATTCAACGTAAAGTAACATCAGTGTGACTTCTGTTGTTGTAGATTAGATGACAAATAACTTATATTAGGGTTGTAAGATGTTAGTTTAAGCAGAACTGTTAATTTTTTTTGCTAGTTATTTATTGATCGCTTGTTTTTTTGTGGTTATTAATTGCTTTTTTGGCATTAATTGTTCTTTTTTTTGTGAATTTTAGTTGAATTGTTAATATGCTTCATATTCAACTTTGTGATCGGTGGCGTGCCCAAAATCTTGTGTAGCGTGCCATAAGTGGCACGCGTGCCACTGGTTCGCCATCCCTGCAATAGTTCAATGGTAAAATTGATATTAAAATACATTTTTGAAGGCACTGTTGACTAAACTAATGAGTTTGCGGCTACACTTCATTTTTTGAGAGTTGAAAGTCTGATTCTTTCAAAAAAAAAAANAAAAAAAAAAAAAAAAAAAAAAAAAAAAAAAAAAAAACGGTGTCATTCAGAAAATGTATATTTTTATGTTTTACTTCTAACTTCGTTATTGTCTACCTAGTATATTCAATGGCTACACTTGAAACCATTCAGATTACATGTTAGTAAACATCTGTTTATAAACATCTGATTATTAGATCGAAAGCTATTTAGATGTGTCGTTTCTTTTTGTAAACTGTACACAGAATTATGAACCCTATTCAAGAAAACGAGGGATCTGTTCCCTAACAACGAATCAATCTCCAACAAACTTCGCGAAATTTGATGAAACCCGGCCCAAAATATCTGCAGTGCATATATATATACACAATAATATACAAAAAATCGGAATGAATCGGTGGAATCTTGAACAAAATAATGGAAACACTTCGATACTAACATATTTTTTGATAATTCTCAAAAAATACTTAAAGAATCAGTTTATAAATTTAGAAGTGTTTAGATTGTGCGGTTTCTCATACATGTCAATAAAGTTTGCTTTTTAAGGTTTGAGGGATCGACAATAAATTACAAACGGAAAAAAACATTTTTGAACACCCTGTGCCTCAAAATGTAGTAATAAATTCAGAGCTTAAATATTTTTGGAGATAAGAACATTTTTATAAAAAATTTTTTCGTCTTACGTTTTTTTGCTAGAATTTCGAAAATATTCCATAAAATTAAATAAAACTTTTGGATCAATTTGAAATTGATTACAAAATTATTGCATTTAAATTTGAGAAAAATTCGCTAAAAACTGCGCGAGATATGAGTAATTCAAGTAGTTATTTTATACTGAGCATGCGCGAAAAAAATTTTTTCTTCTTAATTTTGTAGTGAATTGTATTTTTCAACTTAAAAAAATATCAAAAAATTTATAAGTAGTTTTTTTATTCTTTAAAAGAAAGCTCAGGATGTGTAGCGTTTAAGTGCTTAAAGGTGCTTATTTTCACTTTTCGTTTTTTAAAAGCCCTTAAAGGTGTTTTTTTCATTGGGTGTTTTTAAAAAGTGCTTAATTTTCCCTTTTTGAAAATGAAATTTTTCCTTTACCATGTTGATTTTCGCTATGAATTATTCAAAAAGACATTGTTTACATTGTTCTATTCAACGTTTTCTCAGTCAATTCAATCCCAATCTATTTCGGGTCATTGTTAGTCCGTAGCGTATGAAAATGCCATTCGTTTTACATTATTCAAAATTTCATGATTTTTGACAATTGTCAAAAACAATGCCATAAGTTTTTATTATTATTATTATTATTTTTGACATGATGGTTAAAACAGGGTAAAACCGTCAATTGTCAAAAACTTTCCAACCAATTATATTTTTTTAAAGTGCTTAAAAATATTTTTTGAGTGCTTGAGAAGTGCTTATTTGTTGTTGAATAATTTGGCTACGCACCCTGAAGCTTAAAATGATTAGTTTTTTTTTACAAATTTCCTTTTGTACTATTAAACAAGATTTATTAAAAATGACACCGGCATTGTTGGGGATAATCCCCCATAAAAGTATCTTTTCTTTCGCAAGTTTTATTTCCTAATACTATCGAATTTTGTGGTCCGTCCGGACCATTATTAGAAGTGTATTATCATTTGTTATGTTTAATAGTGCAAAATGCAATTTGTGATAAACCCCTTATTATTTTGAGCTTTCTTTTAAAGAGTAAGAAAAACTACTTAGAAAATTCCTTTAAACTTTTTAAAATTTTTTTTCTTCCCATCCGCAGTATAAAATAACTACTTTAATTTCTCATATCTTGATCAGGTTTTTACGAATTTTTCTCAAATTTTAAAGCAACAATTCTGTAATCAATTTTAAATTGATCCAAAAGGTTTGTTTAATTTTATTGAATTTTTTCAAAGTTACAGAGAAAAACGTAAGACAAAAAAAATTTGCTTTTTTAAAAAAAGTCCATATTTTCATAAATACTTCAACTAGGTTTATGAAATTTTGTGCAATTATTGCGTATAGTAACCAAAATAACAATAATAAGTTAAAAATTTATAACTGCATTTTATGGCATAGAGTGCTAAAAAACATTTTTTTTTTCTGTTTGTAATTTATTGTCGGTCCCTTAAACCACAAAAGGCTTTAAACTTCATTGATATGTATGAGAAATTGCACGATCTAATTACTTCCAAATTTATAAACTTATTCTTTAAGTATTTTTTGAGAAATAGCAGAAAATGTGTTAGTATCGAAGTGTTTCTATAATTTTGTCCAACCCCTATATGAGGAAATAAATAAAAAAATATCTTTATTTTTGGCTTTGAAAGGCATTTGTTCGGGGAGCATCTAGGGCATTTGTATTCCATGATAGAATGATTAATCTCGAATTTTAAATAGTTTTTAATGGGATTCAACAACAAGTTTATATAAAAAAAGGATTTTATATATAACTTATTGTCGGAAAAATAATGTTTATGTAAAGTGAATCAGCTTACATCTAAAGTAGTTAGTGAAAGCAGCTCATATCGTCTAGCTGCTATATTTAAAGTTAGCTTTTTCTATCTTATTTATAACCGTCGTTGAANTGATTAATCTCGAATTTTAAATAGTTTTTAATGGGATTCAACAACAAGTTTATATAAAAAAAGGATTTTATATATAACTTATTGTCGGAAAAATAATGTTTATGTAACGTGAATCAGCTTACATCTAGGTAAAGTAGTTAGTGAAAACAGCTCATATCGTTGAACAGCCGACCCAATTTTTGGGTTTACGACAACTAATGTTCAACTCCTTAGCCTTGTAATTTTGAACCCAATCCAGAAGACAAGGGAACTCCTGGTTCAAGCATTGGGTGAAATTTGCCTTCGTGGAGGACTTTTTGATGGAACTAACCCGCCTTTGCGTTACATGGAGAGGAAGATCACGAGAACCTCCCACGGTTAGCCTGACGGCAAGGGGACTCTAACCCATTATCCGTCTACCACTGAGGATATTTCACGTCAGCACTGTGGTCGGTGCAAGCCAGTTGCGGAATTCGTATCGATCAGCCATCGCCGGGATCGAACCCCGGTTCACCTCAATGGAAGGGAACGCTCTATCCTTTGAGCCATCGCGGCTCGCTTTTTCTGTCTTGTAATTGGTATGAGATAGAAGAATAAATTACAAAGCTGTAAGCTAAGATTTCCAAACCTTTTTTTTTTTTAATATTGTACTCTTTTCGCCAATTTTTTAAATGTTTGTTGATCTCTTCGAGTGTGTTGTTTCCTTTGAACTGGAAAGTTATAAAGCAGAGTGAAATGTTTATAAGTGTCATGTGACAAGAACAAAATATAGCTGACACCTAAAAGTTACTTGACAGTCACAATTTTCTTATGAAATTTTACAGTCTTCGAGTACGTTTCTAACGTAACCTTAATATTGATAATTTTAAAATACATTCAACTTTCAATCCGGCGTGTTTTTCTCTAATCTATATCTATCTCTAAGCTATTTGCTTCTGTGGGGTTCATTGTAAAATGTAAAAATAATAATAATAATTGTTAAATTCAAGCAAAGGCAATTGTTTGCAAAATGGAAATATGGTAACATAATTGCCTTAACGAAGTTTTAAAGAAATCGTAGTTTTAACGTATCTTAATATTTTGATAGTAATCAATTTAGTCAGGCATTGGCAGTAATTTAAAATTTGTTAATTTTTCTCCCCAAGCAGATTGGCAATCACAACGTAAAGGAAAAAAATAAAATAAAAGAAACTTATGTTTACGACAATTTGATTACGTAAGCATAAAAAATAATAATAAATTCAATAAAATTGCCTTGAACGAATCACAGAATTTATACTGAGTACAAAATCTTCGGCAGACAAATTTAAGGCGATTGTTATGTTAAAATTTTTTTAAAGAAATATGTAAACAGAAATACAAGTTATAATCCAAAAGCTGAAAATTTTGAAAATTCAAAAAGCTTTTTACGTTTCCCTTCTTTTGGAATTTTTTAATAAGAACAAAAAATGTTTTCTTGATTTTTTATAAGTTATTTTTATGATTCATAAACGGATACTTAAGAAAATAAATCTATTATCAACACTACAGTTAAAAAAAAAAATGTTTAAATTCACAACTTACTTGGGACGTATTTAAAGGATCTGGATACACTTTGTTGTTTGTAGGACTATGGCCATCTTGCAAGCCCAAAGATAGAGTCCTGTAATCCGTAAAATAAAAGTGTGCACAAATACTTAATAGCAAAAATTATAAATAATTCGACAATAAATTAGATTTAAAACTTAAAAGGCATGCTAATTTGTATAAATATTAAATACCAAATAAAAGTTAGTTAAAAAAAATGAAATACACATGCTGATGAAATGAACCTTGGTTCTTTCGAATAATTTAATAAAAACAAAATAGATAACTAATTTTTAATGCGAGAAAAGAAAGAATATGAATATTGTTTAGCTGGCTGCAATAGCAATTTTAATTGCTATGATGAACTGAAACTGTGATAGTCAAGGAAGGTCATTTCGTAACACCCTGTTTACTAAGATAATAATATTGAGTTCTATTTTTTATTTTATTTATTAATATAAAATTTCTCTTTGTAATACGGAATTTAGTTTTGTACATTTTCTTTAGCAATCAAACTTTTAATGTTTCGAAAGTATGCCGAATATCGTGATAATATTCCGTTAACTTTAACTCGCTCACTCCGTATCCTGCGATTTTCACGGTAAATTTAGAAGTAGCAAAATTTGCACAGCTAGCAATTTCCTAAGATGCATTTTTTCTAACTGTCCATCCCACTCATAGTTTCATTTCGACTTGACTGTAATGTTTAATTGTTTATTCAGATCAGGATTAACAGATGGCGCTGGTTGTCCATATTTCTGCGAACTAAATAAGCAGCATTTTGCGCACTCTTTTCAAAACTTATAGATGCTTGTCAGAGGGATTTGCTGCAAAGATTGCGAGACAAGATGTTGTCTTGAGCTTTGTTTCGAAGTTTGTCATATGCAATTTTATTTCTATTAAATGTTTTGTAAATATTTTCATTAGTATATACATTTTACCTTTGCACTTCATAAAATAAATCATAATTTTACCAAGATTAATTTTTAAAATGTTGTTTTTGAAAGATTATTCTTTGATTTCCATTTTCCAACAACCATTTTTATGATCCAATTCTACATTGAAAAAATAAAATCTCTTTTAAAATTTTTTTTCTATATTTTGGCTCTAAAATACATATAGATTTGAAATATGTAATAAGAAATATGTAATTTTTTAGCCTATTTTGATAAAACAAATTACGCAGTGAGTGGGTTATTCCTCATCAGATTTTCAACGCTATATTAAATGTTGATGAATCTTGAATAAATCTTGAAATGAAGCTATTTCTATGTGTTTCACGTAGATGCAATACAAAAAATCCAATTCTACATCGAAGAAATAAAATCTCTTTTACAAATTTTTTTTCGATATTTTGGCTCTAAAATACATATAGATTTGAAATATGTAACAAACAATACGTAATTTTTGAGCCTATTTTGATAAAACAAATTACGCCGTGAGTGGGTTACTCCCCATCAGATTTTCAACGCTAGATTAAATGTTGATGAATCTTGAATAAATCTAGAAATGAAACTATTTCTATGTGTTACATGTAGATACAATACAAGAAAGGATTACAGGTAATAATAAGAATAATAAGGATTGCAAAAAATTCAAACCAGATTTTTTATTCTTTCGAAAAAGTTGAAAAATTAGTAAAATTTATGCTTGTTATTTAAATATCTCATGGTTTTCAAAGAATAATTTTATTTTGGTCTTAAACTCAAAATATTGTTGGAAGATTAGCTGTAACAATAGCTGGAAATGTCTGAACCTGTCTATCTCGAACTTCTCAGTAATACACACAAAATTAAAAAAATACTTATAAACAACTAATAATAAAAGCTTTTGTATCAGTTACATATAAATTATATATACCATAGAATTAATTTTTGATGAAATAATTCTGAATTTATAAATGTACTATAGCCTTACCTTACAAAAAGAAATTTTAAACTCAATGTAGTTTTGTTTCTGCTTTTTGTTTTGTATAAGTATTTTGTAGGATAATGTTTTTTTTTCATTAAAAAAAAGACTATCCTAAATAAAATAAAGTTTGTTATGGAGAGAAAGAACTTGATTCAGGTTCTAAAAAGTTATTACAACCATTCTACGACATAATCGAATAACGGAAGGGAATCTCGAATCTCTGGTGGTTTCGATGAACTTGGTTCGAATGCTGAAAAATTGTTACAACCAGCTGACAACCCAATGAATAATAGAAATGATCCTCGAACCTACCTCTGTTGGTTTCCTGTGTCTTTCTTAAGGAAAAATCACAAGTCTAAGTTACGTGTAAGTCGGAATGTTGTTGTTGTAGTTAATTTACGTCACACTAGAGCTGCACGATGGGCTATAGGCGACGGTCTGGGAAACACCCCTGATTATGATCCGAAGACATGCCATCACAATTTTGATCCTCTGCAGAGGGGATGGCACCCCCACTTCGGTAACCCGACGACCTGCACGCGNCATCTCAATTTTGATCCTCTGCAGAGAGGATGGCACACTCGCTTCGGTAGCCCGACGACCTGCACGCGAAGTCGAGCACTTTACGGTATAACAGTTTAACGAAGATCAATACCGCACGTCCTCGGTCCCTATGCAGACTGATCCAAGTGGTCTCCCACCCACACACTGACTGCAGTCAGTGATGCTTGACTTTGATGATCTGCTGGGAACCGTGTCTTAACGATCAGCTAGCTCACTTCGGGACATAGGGTAAGACGAATCTACAATCATCAGTGCTGAATCCAAACTGTACCTTGAACTGATCTGAATTTAATTGTACTTGAAATCCTGTAAGAAGCTTGTTCTCAATTCCCCCCCTTTTTTTATCACAACACTATTCGTTTATAAGTTTAATGACATCTTGAAATTTTCTTACTTACTTCACACTATGTTTATGGGACAAACGTATTTATTTTATTAAAAATTAAATTTCTCATACTGAAACATTTAATTTTTGTCTTTAGTAAAAGTATTCTTGCAAAATGTAAGTTTAGAAATTGCATATTCCTCCAAAGATAAGTGATAACCTGGTCGCGCCTTTCTAAATCAGATATCTTTTAGAGCTCTAATTTAATACAGCGCGTACTTTTTTTTACCAACAGCAGACATGTCTCGCCAAAAGTGGCAACAATTAAATTTAAAGCTCTTCCACTGAACGCTGTTTTTCGAAGCTCTGTCGCCAAGGAAAATGAAAAAATCCATAGTTTAAGTGCCTTACACTAGAAGCAATTTGATGATTTTAAACTATATATATAATCTTGAAGTGCAGAATCATCTAGGCTTAAGAACAGACAATAAATAACAGACAACTTAAATATTTTAAAAGTTATTAATTTAGAATTGAAATTTTTCAACCTAGATGAAAGTGATCAAAATCACTGCTATATTCTCAATTTTTGTAAATTTTTATGAGCACAGATAATGCAGCATTGGACTAAGTTTTTAAAAATTAAAAAATTAGACTACAAGCGCTTTTCATTTTCACAAAACTGTGGCTTTTCTTCATAGTGACGTTTTGCACCATTTTCAAAATAAGCGAAGACAGCGCTGCCTTTAGATAGACTAAACTTGACCTGACAGTCCTTAGTTGCTAACTCACAGCAATTATAAAAATAGCATGTTATTCGCAAAAAAACATAATTCCGTATTACGACGGAGCCTTCGAAAGGAGGACATTTTGATGGAACTAACCCGCATTTGCGTTACATGGAGAGAAAGACCATCAGAACTTCTCACGGGTAGCCTGATGACAAGGGTACTCCATCCCATGATCCGTCAATCATTGAGGATATTTCACGTCAGCAATGTGGTCAGTGCAAGCCGGATGCGGAATTCGTATCGACCAGCCATCGTTGGGATTCGAACCCGGTTCATCTCATTGGAATGCGAACACTCTATCCCCTGAGCCTCTAATTTAATTTGTTAATTTCCCTCAAATTTAATATACTATTATTTAATATTCATGTTCTTTGTACAAAACATTTGTGAAAAATTTGGCACTTAAGGGCCCCGATCAATCAATAATCCGATCATCTGAATTATCAATACCATGCAATTTTTTTTTGTGAAAATGTTTAATTATTAAAAAAAAATGTTTTGAATATCACCAACGTGAATCCTCATAGAGAGCTGGGCTAGGCAGATGCTCATTTCCCCCACCCTTGCTGACTCTGAATATTAAAAGTCAATTTCTAGTTAAATGGTTTATTTAAAGTAAAAAAGAAATCCATTTTATTTATTTCTAAGTAAAATAAGTTCCTTAACCCCTTCCTTCTCGCTCCCGTGAAAATGACGGGGTGAGGTTTCGCCCTCTATTTCTCGCTCCCGTGATATTGACGGGCTGGAGTGTTCAGTAGTAACGCGCCGATAAGAATAAAACTAAATCATTTCTTTTACCCGGAAAATATTTTATTTCTCATTTTACTCACCAGATGGCAGCACCAGGATATTTTTAAGGTAGTTGTAGATAGCTTATTTTAAACTAGATGTCAGCACTAATCAAATACGTAATACAAATACAAAAACCAAAAGAATAGGCACTTTTATGACCGTTTTCTGGAAAATTAACCGATCGTTAAGGGGTTAAGAATCGCTACGATGTCTATATAACTGTGGTTAAATAATTTCAAATACAAGTTCTTTTTGTTTTAACCCATCAAATATGTTGTTTAATAAAGCTATAGGAGTTATTTTTTTCATTTCCTCCATTATAATTCATAACTTTTTCCATTATGATTTTCATTTATTAATTTTTTTTGTATATCTCATTTATATTTAAATATATTTAAATCGAAACTCAGGAAGACGATCAAGGTTAAGTAAAAGCTTGAAAATGGGATTGCCGGAGAAGGAGTGAGAGTTATTAATTGGCGAAATTTGATTGCGCTTATAAGTGCAAAATGATGCCTGATTTAGAAAAGTGCGACCCTCGCGTAATCTGAACATGCAAATTTCTAATGAATAAATCTAATTATTTAAATTTTTTTAATGTAGAATTTTTTTTTCTTCTTTAGTTTTACATAAGAAGTGTTTTTATTCAGAATGTCTGCTTTTCTTTCATCTTTAAAACATTTGAGATTTCTTTCTACTTCAGATTGCTTTCTTTAAATATAGAAGAAAAACGTCGTTTTCTCGTCCTCTAACGTGAGAATGGCATCTAAGAAATTATATTGAAAAGAAGTGTTAGATAAATATTTATGTGGTCAGTTAGGATGAACCTGAGCCTGAATGTAACAAGTCTGAAACTTTAATGCATGACATTTTTCAAATTCCTCTTTGGGATGAGTAAAAACAAAGATTCGTAAATAAAAACCTCTGGAGTAATTACCAATCACACTACTCAATTCTATAGCTGTCTTACAGTGGATTAATGGTAAGACGCGACTCCCAGTAGAACACCGAAGTCAAGCATCACTGGCAGTGGCCAGTAAACGGGTGGGTGATGACTTTGACCAGACTGCAAAGAGACCGAGGGTGTGTGGTAGTGGTCCTCGTTAAACTGTTCTACCGTAAAGTGCTCGGATTCGCTCACAGGTTGTGGGGCTACCCTGGTGGGGGAGACATCCTCTCGGTGTAGAAACGAATTTGCGATGGTATGTCGTCGGATCATCTTCAGAGATGTTTCCCAGACCACCGTCACTAGCCCATTGTAGCTCCACGAAGGCAAATTTCTCTCAATACTTAATCCAGGCGTTCCCTTGTCTTCTAGCTTAGGTTCAAAATTACAAGGCTACGGAGTTGAACATTAGTAGTCGTAATCCCAAAGAATTGGGTGCGCTGTTCAACGACGGTTATTAAATAAAATAAAACATCCCATTGTGCTGCTCTAGTGCGTTGTAAATAAAGTACTACTACTATTCCATAGCTCTCCAATATATTCCAGGAAATAAAAGTAAAGTTCTTCCAAAAGAGTCAATGTTCTGCTAAAGGGGTCATACTGATTAAGACTCAACAGTTTTGAGACCAACTATACAATGATGATATTATGGTCAGTATTGCGCGCCTATTACTTTTACTTCCGTATAGACTACTGATACTTATCGATCTGAAGCTTGTCGGACTTTAATCCACCACCGGATATAGAGCTCCAATCCTTTACAGTGACAACTCAGAGCCGTAGCCATTATAGCTCACATTTTAAGATTTTTAAACTAGATTTGGATATCAGGATTTATGTTTAGTTTTAATGACCACTCTTGTTAGACGCGTGAATTATTTTTCAGGGCGCTGAATTCCAATTAAATAATTGGGAGTTTAATACAGTCTGAAGCAGCATTGTTCACTGCTTTCGGAGCAGTAATTTTTTTCTCTTAGAACAGTTTGGTGAGACAATTTTATCATTTTTTAAGTGTTTTGGTACTCACAAATTTTACTAAGAAAGGCATACTCAATGGTACCATCTTAATTAAACTACCAACTTCTTTGTTATGGAACAAAAAATTCTTTCTCAGAGCAACCGAAAGCAGCGGCATGTTTTGGAATCAGGTGGAGTACAGCTGTAGTGAATAGGAACAGCTTTGCAACAATTTTATGCAAAAACGGACGCCTCAAATGATGTGGAAAAACACTGTTCAAAAATGCCTGATTTGAAGCAGATGAGGTAAATTAAAACAGAAGCTGTTGGAACAACGATTAGAGAAATAGAAATTTTGAACTTTCTGACTGTTTCATAAGTGGATATCGAAAATAACTCTTAAGTTAAATATTCGATACATAATCAGAATGCCTCACATATAGAGGTACAATTTGTGATAAAATACATGAAGGGTGAAAATATCGAATCGCTCCATGCGTTTGACAATGGTTCCGTGAATGCCCAGAGGTACAGGCAGGAGGTCCTACAGCCCTATGTGCGTCTTTTCAGGGGCGCTGTTTGCTCTGAGTTCATTTTTATGAACGACAATGCGCGACCACATAGGGCTCTCATGGTTGATGAGTATCTGGAAAGCGAGGATATTCAACGAATGGATTGGCCAGCCAAATCCCCTGATCTGAATCCTATTGAGCATGCTTGGGATGCTTTTGGAAGAGCTATTGCGATGCGCCAACCTCCCCCCAGAACCATTCTGGAGTTAAAAATTGCTCTGGTGGAAGAATGGGAGGGTCTTCCACGAGTCCTCATTAACTCCCTTATTAACAGCATGCATACTCGATGTGCATGCTGTCTGTCTGTCAGGGGTGACCATATTTCATACTAGTGGCAACGCACACTGTACAAGCCTCACTTTTATTGTCATCTTTTATCCTTAAGTTCAGACTACATTGGATTTATTGGCAATAGGTCTTGCCAGTGAATGGCACTTTCATTTTTGTTTTGCATACTTTATTATCATGGAATAAGCTATATCCATACCAAATTTCATTTATTTATATTCAGTATTTTTTGAGATGTTTGGGAAAATGTCTTCCATCTCTTAATTTTGTCTACCAGTGTATAAAAAAAAGAATTAAAAAAAAATATGATCCCAACACAACATGTGAAAATTTATACGAATATAGGAAATGAACTACTTTTATTGATTATTTTTATATCGTACGAATGAAGGACTGTGAAGTCGAAATGATGCCCTAGGTTACTGTTTTCAATTACTTTTATAATAATTTTTTATTCATTTGTGTTGCTCACACCAAAGGAACCTTTTTGAAGTAATTATTTTAGCTTCAGGAGTTCTAGCGTAACGCAAGAAGCTATTTATATTTTATTAATTTTTCACACTGGTTTATACAGTCAAAACGTTTCGAGATAGGCAGGTTTGCATGTTTCTTTTCCATACATTTTAGATTGTAAATATGATACCATTTATGGGTTAACTAATTAAAGCTTATATAGTAGCGATACATAACCATCTTTAACAAATATATTAACATGTAAACATTAATTACCTTTTATGGACAATACAGATACATAAAGGTGCAGACAGAAAAAAGGAATAGAGCAAAAGAGGAAGAAAGCAAGCTTACTGTGAAACAGGAAAATGCTCGTTCGTTTCCGGAAACTTTCTGGGCCGTCCACGACTCAAATGACGCCTGTTGACAAATTCACAGTCATCTACCATCCAGAACGAGCCAAAGTCATCCTCATACCGCACAAAACACTTATGGAGGGACAGATTGGTGCGTATTGCATTCTGTGCAAAAGAATGTGTGGGGAAGGTAGGGTGGTCCATTCAGTTGGTGAGGATGCAATAAACACAAATGCAGGAAAAAGGATTGGGAAAAATAAAGGCAGCCAACATAAAAATAAAGGATTGAAGGGAAGGAAGTGATGTGATAGGGAGAGAGAGAGAAAAACAGAATGTTATTGATAGTGCAAGAATGACACACAAACATATACATTGGTCACTGTACACATAAACATACCCAATTCTCTCTTGTAACCTTTGCGGTCTGCGCTTGTAGAATTCTATTTCATCCACTGTCCACACTGCCCCTTTTATATTCTCTACTCGCATAAAACATTTGTGCAAGCTGAGGTTGTGTCGAACCGCATTCTAACAATAAGAGACAGCTACTTTTACAATGTGGACTACACTACTTACATATAGTAATTTGTTTTGTTTATGTCTTTCGATTGCTGTCACTTCCTCTGAGCGAACTGTTTTAGGTGGCTATTAAATGTTATTGGTAGCAAAACACCCAATTAGATCGAAGATTCGCACGAAACATTTTCTTCAAAAGTGTAGATTAAAAATAACCCTGTTACTTTTATTACTTTTTTTCTCAATAATAGGCATTAGAATTAAAAAATAACGAATAATTTAACTCATGTTTTACTAAATAATTGGGCATGATACACTTAAATGAAAATAATTTGAAGATTCGTGACTATCTTACATACAGGGTGATGACAAAATAACTTAGCAAATGTTTGAGATCGTAGTGCTTAAGAAAACGGGTGACATTTGTGGATACAGGTATTTTACGATAACCGTTATTAAAAACAAATAATTTTTTCATTGACTAAATTTTAAAAATTTGAAGAATTAAAGTACTTCTTGATCGTAAGAAAGGTTCTTCGTCGCAAAATAAGAAGAAAAAAAGAATTGTGAACCGCGATAGTTTTTAAGAAAGTTATACTAATTGAACTTTAATGCCCATATTTTAAACTTCGATTTATTTCCTAAATTTACGACCAGTCACATACACCTGCGAGAATTAAGTTTATACTAATCTTGATAAAATACTAGTTTTTCAGGTTTAAAAGGTTGAAATGGATTGGCTAAGTAATAAACAGGAATTTTTGTTCGTAAAATGTATTACGAAGTTTTTGTGTTACTTAGAATATTCCTTATTTTTTTCGGGGAAAAAAATGAACACAAAAAACTCTAAGTTATTCCAATTTTCATTGTGTATTATATATGTTTCTGCAGTGTGGAAGTTGGATACGTAGTAATGAAAAAAATGGGCTGTCAATAATGTTATGAATAAAAAATAGGATATTCAATAATGTCTACACACTTAACATACATATTTTTAGAATCTTCTTGTATAAATTAAGCATAAAATCAATGCTTCATCTATATATATATATAATTATTTTTTTAAAAATTTTTTCTTAAAGATTTCCAAAAATATATGTGATAGGCGGTTATTATGGATGACTTTTGTAAATGTCAACATTTATAACAACAGTATACATTTGAAACAAAATAATAAATGATACAAACCATTATATTCGAATGGTATGATTAAAAAATCAGCGAGGATTAGTAGCATTTGTAGAAATTTTTCATGCATGTGTCCTTGCAAATTATTGTCTATTTCTGAGTTTTTTTGCTGTATTTTGTTGCTAAATCGAACATACTTTTATTGAAATATAAGCATCAGACATTAGGAAATTTTTTGCGCTCTCTTAGCCATTTCTTTTTCAAACCATAAGTAAATTATGGCATTATCATAAAAATGATGCTTGTTCCATTAAAGGGGATAATTAGGTAAGCAATAATTATTTTTTTTTTATTCGGAGCTTTACATTGTTAAAGATATTCTTCAACGTTTCTCTACTATTGGGTGTCAATTTAGCTACATAATATGGTGTGAACTTGTACCAATGTAGAGGTACACTTAGAAGAACTATGGTAGTTGAACTAAATCAAAGGTATTCTTCAGACCAATTTCTCAGTGAGACGATAAACCAAGTTTTTTTGTGAAAAGGTGTCTTTAAAAAAATTTGCTTCAAGACGCTTCCTGGTGTCGAACTCCAGTAATGAACAGTGAAAAGTTCAGTGCTCTTAATAAAGCAATCGCGGTTCATTTCAAGGCTTTGGCTTTTCTTTAAGGTTCTGACGAAATAAATTTACAATATTTTATTAATGTTTTTCGTTTTAACAAAACAGTATAACAGCAACAGGTTCTCTACTGTAGAAAAAATATCCATTAATTTAAGAGGCATTGCTTATGAAAAAAATAATTGTTTAACCGAACCAAATTTTCAAGAAATATATAAATGTTCCCTTTTGGAACTTCTGAAAAATCCTTGCAATTACTGCTTCTTCTTTTATTATGAATGCATAACAGCATAAACAATATTATTTTTAGCTGTGCAAACAGAACAATTAAACCTCAATTGTCTGCTATCATCCATTAACGGATTAACATTAAGATTTTTTCAAACAGTGTACGTGCCAACATGTTCTCTCATTTTTTTCACATTCCTTCAGTTAATAATTATCAATTAGAACTTTACAACAAAAATCTGACGATTTAAGGAGTATTTAGTATAAATGTACTCAAAAAAGTTTTACCGGAAGAAGAAACAATGAAATAGTTTTAGGCACGATTAATCAATTTCTTCAAGACTATTTTCTTCTTATCTATTGACTGAGAATTACACATATTTTTCACTTGAACTGTAAGAAATTTATACTTTTTTAAAGTATTAATTGGAAATTTTGATCAGTACAGTTACTTCTTAAACATCGATTTTTGGAAAAATAGGAGAGCTCACCATAGACTTTTGGAAACACTGCTTGCTAATTGTATGGAATCCGCTTCCTCTATTTATTTAACATATTTTAAAATTTACAAAACTCTTAAGAATTTTTTCGTCCATGCTTTTTTGTCGTATCTAAATAAAAATTGAGCAAGCATTCATTCGACAAAACATTCAGAAAATTTCATTATAGGAAGGCAATCTAAAAAGTGACGTTTCTTAGCTTTTCATAAATATAAAAACCCATCTATTTTGTATAGTACTTATACAGATTGAACATTTGTTTATTTTTCTACATAACTATGATAGTTGCGGATAATTTTACAGTTCAATAGTAATATGCCAATAATTTAATTTTGATGAATAAGATTTAATGGGAAAACTCAAACAAACTTTTAAAATCTCGTATCTATACTATTTAAAACTTAAAATCTGAAATCCAAAGACAGAAAGAATTCACCTGCAATTTTTAGTCAAAAAACTAAACGCAATACTGTAATATATTTAAATTCATAGCCTTTATGTCGGGGAATAATAGTAATATATGCAATTACAAGCGGGTTTAGATTATTATTTTTTGTACAAATATGGATAAATTTGTTACGTAACTGTTGAAATGTAATAAGATGTTTAAATGAGTATAGAAAATGCTATTTCACCTTCCACGTAGCTGCATTTCTTCGGAAATAACAAAATGTGTTTTGAAACCAGTTGTATATTTCATTTAAAGTTAGCTGCCTTTCTGGAGATTCAATAATGGCCTAAAATAAATAAATTATGAGAATAAATAAAACAAAATACTAATAAAATTGTTCTAAGAGACAATCTAACAATTGTGATATTGAAATCAATAAATTATATTGAAATCGCCGACCAGGTGGCTGAGTGGTTAGCGTGCCTGACTGCGGAGCCGATGGTTGCGGGTTCGAATCCCGCTCAGTGCATGTATGTTTCTTTCTATCTCTCGTCCTTTCTTCTGTGTGATTGTGTGCATGTGTCCCACCCTATAAACGGGTTTGTGGTTGTATGACGTGGGCGACGCTACACCACCGCCGTGGCTTAGCCATTGGTACTCACTGGGTAACGATAAAAGAGTAGCAATTCCGGCATTTCTGAGGTCGATGGGCCCGCCATTAACCAAAAAAAAAAAAAAAAAAAAAAAAAATACTGAATTTTACATATTAATTCTGTTTTCGGACGTACAACATAAATTTAGTGAAAGTTGGTAAGCATCGATATATTTTTGTATTTTTCAATATTTTACTTATTTATTTTTTTATAAAAATAATAATTGGATATAATGCTGCGATTTAATTTACCGTACTGAGTATCATAAAAATAATCAATGATTTGAAAAATCATTTAAATAAAAACGGTGGGATATAGAAAGGAATCGTTTGCTGCTCTTTGCTTAGTAAACCAAATATTTTTGTTTTCATTTAATTTCAAAACTAGTTACAAATTTTTTCCAACAAATATCGCTACTAATAGAAAATCTATGAATCAATGCTTTCAAAATATCTACCATTTGGAGCAACATTTGAGAACGAAAAGGTGAAATTAACATTAAGGAAATCAAACTTTCACCTGCCTGAACTGTTGGAACCATTTTTTCAAGATCGTGGTTCCCCCTCATATCTTGAGGGTTAAGAATCCAAATCCATCGTAGAAATGTTAGTTTACTCAGAAAATTTACAGCCTTGCGTCTGATTTCATAATTAAAATGTCGAGTGCACTGATTAATTAGCATATTTAACACTAGTCCATCAAACTATTAAGATAGAGTACTAGTACATGAAAATCAGATCATTAGATCAAAGAATATTAAGGTGTCTGCTAGACGAAAAACGTGGTTTTGAGCAAACACAGGTTAAAGGATTGCGGATAAACATAGGTTGAAGGTTTGTGAAAAATGTTTTAGAACCGTTAGAGGTAGAAATTATGAAGTGAAAATAGTAAGATGTAGTTTTTGTTCGAAAAAGAATAAGTCACTTAAATCGGAATCACTGAATCCGAAAAATTCTTTTAAAAATTGAGGTTCACGTCTTACATGTATATTTAAAGTTTACTCCATCCTCAAAGTGAGCTTTATCGGCCATTTTGGATTTGTTTAACTTGTCTAAATAGCTATATCAAACGTCGTAAATAAACACAAGTAGAAAATTGAACTTTTTGTATTTAAAACTTTAATTACTACTAAATTTTAAATTATAAGTTATGATGTAGCAGAAACGTCTCAAATCATATAAGAATCAAAATATTTAGTTAAGTTAAATCTATACTTTTGTATGGAGGTATCACTTGAAAGTGTGAGAACACAATCATCAATAAAATTAAAAAAAATACAAATAAATGACTCCGTAAAATTTTAAATATAAAATGTGTTGATAAAGTGAAAAATGAAACACTGCTTAATGTGTGCAATCAAAAACCAGGAAATTTAAAAAAATAATAATGTGGAGATGGAATGGCTATGTATTTGAAAAAAAAATTTCATGTGAGACGGGCTTTGGATAAACCCCACCCCCTGATAAACAAGCAAGGCTATGACCATGGATGATTTGGCGTAGTTGGTTGTGGTGGGAAAGTACAGAGAGAGTGGTACCAGCTCAGGCGCTGTCCACGTCTTCTGACCAGGGTCAAAATTACGAGGCATTCCTACCAGGTCTATAAGCGATAGAGCCCTGAAAATGGGGTTAGCTGTTTGGCCATGGCTGAGTGATGATGATAAGGCGTAGAGGAATCGAGAGAGAAATCAAAGGTATTTGTAAAAATTAGAATGAGCTATAGCGCTTTGCTAAAAATCGGGTGAGTTAGAGAGGCATAACTGAGACCAAGTGATCCTTTAAGAAATGTAAAGTTTAAAAAAAATCCTATTAGCATGGTTTTGATCTAATTCGATGTAGTATAAAAATACGTAGGGGATAATATCTCACTTGTATAGATTTCAATGCATAAATTTCTCCTGCTAGATTAAATTCAAAATGGTAGCTAAAGCTCATAACCGAGGAATGGCTAAACTTAAGAGAATATTCATCTAACCTATGTTCTGAAGTTACTTAGCAAGCACAGTTTAAAGAATCTATGTCACAAACATGCATTGTTTGTTCAAAACATACATGGGGAATGGTTCATGATAGCCCTAAATCTCCATATTTAAATTTTTTTTTCTTTTTACCTATTTCTGTAATCTGTGTTTTTTCCTATTTACACAAGAACAGACTAAATATCAAGTCATTGGACATACTTACTTGTCTTATGAGTGAAGCGTAAGTAAAGGGAGGACGGACATCTGCATTTTTATAAAATTCCCGATTCCTTGTTATTTCTAAAAAGAACATTATTATTAGAAGATATGTAATTTTATAAATAAAAATGCACAATATTTTTATAAAGGAAGAACTAAAACAATTTGGTTCAAAATCAAATTTTTTTAGGACTTTTATAAATCTTAAGTCCAATTTTTAACCTCATTGGAGAGCTCTAATTTTTTATACTTTTTATTTTTGAAAAAAATTAAAAATTTTATTTATTTATTTATATATATATATATACACCCTACGCCAGAGGAAAAGATAAGTTTTGGCGAGCAAGTTGGCAACACAGGTTTTAACCTTGAACCGTTAGCTTTCTCCTCGCGGTCGTTCGGCATTTCAACGTTGATTCTGGTTGGAGTAGGTTGTGTTTAAAATGGCTGCGGCGATTCAGAATCTCGCCAAATGCGAAGTGCGCTCCGTCATACTCTTTCTTCATGCAAAAGGTCAGAGACCAGCGGATATTCACAAAGAAATTGTTTCTGTTTATGACAACGTTATGAATAGACAAAATGTAACGAAGTGGTGTCGTCATTTCTCTGAAGGTAGGACCGATATTCATGACGAACAAAGAACAGGTCGGCCATCTGTGATGTCCTTCTTCAGAGAACGGAGGAAGCAATTCGTGCGAATAGACGTCTTAAATTGAAAGAATTGCATCAGATCATACCAGAAGTGTCAATGACAACTCTTTATGAAGTTGTGACTGTCAAGTTAGGGTACAGGAAATTGTGTGCGAGGTGGGTTCCAAAAATTTTAACAGAAGAACACAAAAAGAACAGGATGGGCTTTGCACTCGACTTCCTCACACGCTATGCAGAAGCAGGTGATGAGTTCCTTGATCACATTGTGACAGGTGATGAGACGTGGGTTTATCACCATGCACCTGAATCCAAGCAACAATCAATGCAATGGCGCCATTCGAATTCACCCAAAGCCAAAAAATTCAAAACTTCGATTTCAACGAAAAAAATCATGGCTTCTGTTTTTTGGGACAGACAAGGCATTCTTCTGTTGGAATTTATGCCTCACGGAACGACAATTAATGCTGCTGCATATTGCCAGACTTTGAAACGTCTTCGAAGGGCAATTCAAAACAAACGCAGGGGAATGCTGACAAATGGAGTCCGCTTGCTTCATGACAACGCGCGGCCTCACACAGCTCTCGTAACCAAAGCACTACTCAAACAATTCAAATGGCAAGTATTGGACCATCCGCCATACAGCCCGGACCTTGCGCCCAGCGACTTCCATTTATTCCTTCACCTAAAGTCACATCTTGGTGGAAAATCATTCCACGACGATGATGAGATCAAAGATGAAGTTGAAATGTGGTTCCGACAACAGGCGGTAACCTTCTATGACTGTGGGATACAAAACCTTGTGCACGGACTTTACAAATGTTTGGATAACGGGGGTGATTATGTCGAAAAATAATAAATAATCGAGTTAATAAGATGTAACTGACGCTTTCTAAGTAAATGTTTTTGTTTTAAGGAATGCGATCCATTGTAACTTTACTTTTCGAAACGCCCTCGTANATATATATATATATATATTCATTTCTTTTTTCCCACCTAACACACCCAAACGAAAAATTAAACCTAATTAATTTTTTTCATTAAAACTTCTTACGGAATTAGTTTGTGTAAAAGTAAGCACGTTCGAATTTATTTATTTATTTATTTATTTGTTCAAAATTTTACATGTTTTAAATAATGAAAACAGTGTTAGAAAATATTGAACCTCGACCATCAACTAAAACATGTACCAAAATTTAAAAGTTTTTTTTTTTTATTTCTTGAAAAGTTTCTGAAAATGAATTGCACCTGATTAAATTATTTCTATCTTATTTTAAAACTTGCAGTACACGCTTCCAATTATTAATGCTGACAAGTTATTAAAGCTGACAATTTATTAATACTGACAGTTATTAATGTTTTCAAAAGTCAGACAAAACAGGAAAAAAACAATTTTACTGTTCCGTATTTAAAAGTGAACTAAATATAAGTTGTCTCTCACCTTACATTTGAAAATAGACAATTTATTATTTTTTGAAAATAAATAAACTATATCTGAAAATAAATAAATATTTACAGTGTTTAAAAATACTAAATTTTGTTAAGGAACAATAAAAGCATTTGCTGAAATTCAACTGTTATCTTAAAATAATATTTAGGTCGGAGTTGATTTTTAATTACAAAATTAAAATGGAAAATATATCTGTCACTTGATGTTATAATAACTAGCATCAAAATAATGAGAAAAAGTTTTTTTTTTACATTCTAAAGAAGAATATTGGAACAGTTAATTTCGTGTATTTTTGTGTTATTTTGTATTTTTGTGTTATTGTGTATTTTCGTGTAGTTTTGTGTTATAAGCACATCGCAATAAGAATAGAAGAACCTTATTGCAACGTGTTTGCCTCGTTACTTTTCTTCTGTCATTTTGAATTTACACACTGAGGAAGGTTCATGTGTACAGAACTGAAGTATATTCATTTCTGTATCTTTATTTGTGTTTTACTCAATTTGTATGCGTTGCTTTAACCATTGGATTAATCAAGCCTGGTGAATCATTCCTGTGCTGTAAGAAAATATGCCGTGCATTATCCTTTAGCTGTAAGTGCTAGATAACACAGCTAACTTTTATTTCATACATATCTTTGGATCAGAACATTAGCATAAAAAATTGTTTCAGTAGATAAAAATATTTTATTTTAAATTATGTCCAAGTTATTTCTTATTAACCTGTGTATAATATACGAATATATTTAACTAAATTTATTAAATAGACAATAGTTTTTTTATATTAAGAAAAATAAATATAGTGACATTTTTAATCGCAATGAGATTACCTTCAGTTATATCCAAATTTACTCGTTCAGCTGCCCTTCGACGAACCGGAATTTCTGGAAATCCATGAGATTCTGAGCAAAAACAAAATATAAAATAAGTCAGACATAAAATAAGTTTCAAAAAGCATTCATAAGTAAACTCTTAAGTGGAATTAAAACTTCTTTTTATCTCAAACGCGTTATAACGAGTCTTGAATCTTAAAAATATATTTCATGAACAATTAAACCTAAGAAAAGAAACATTGCTCTCATGTAAATTTTATCATATTAACAGAGTTGTGTAAATCATAATAAGCGTTAAAATGAAAAGAAATATCAGGAATCTCATTGTAAAACATCTTTAACTACTTAAAATAGCTTTATTTAAATATTTGAGAAAATAAAGTTCTATTCTTACAGCTGACTAGCACACCATTAAACTTATAAGATGAAATGTTTTCAAAATATTTATACATGTTCTCTCTAAGTTCTCCGCTGTTAACTTTAACTTAAAATTCAGAAAACGTCATTAGGTGGCTACTCAGTGAGCATCCGTGGACTGTAACTACGAAAACAAGCAACATGTTCAGTTTATCACTGGCGTTAAAAAGTCGATCCACATCAGTTTTGCGACTATAGCAATGTTCAACTACGTAGCCATGTAATTTTAAGTCCAATCCAGAAGACATGCGATTTTCTACATCAAGCATTGCGACAAATTGGCCTTTGCGGAGGATTTTTTTTGCTTTATATTTGGAGGCAAAATACGAATACTTTCCAAGGTTAGCTTGACAGCAAGGAGACTCTACCTCTGAAAATTTCGTCAGCCTTGTGTTGAGCGAGAGTGGCATATGAATTGATAGCCTACACCGGGATTCAAACCTGTGATGGAAGGCAAATGCTTGGTTTGAGCTCATCCAAGAGCATATTTGATCACAAGCTAATTTATAGAGCTTGTGATCAAACGTACAAACTAAGAAAATTAAACTATGTTAATCTTCATGAATTTTTAAAATTCCTTTGATTTAACTGAGTATTTTGTACTCAGTTAAAGTTAGGGGAAGGAAATTTCTTCGAGTTAGGAGCTTTTTTGGACACAGTAAGAACATAAAAATTGGAAGAGGTTTGGAGAACTTTTGCTCGTTAAGGACTGTTTTTTAATCATGTTGGAGATTTAGCGTGAACATTAATTTGCATATATAACCAGTTTTAGAACAGCTAATTAGAATTAAAATAGTTTGAAGCAAACAAAATAAAACAGCAATCGCATCATTAAAATGTTTGAATTCTATTCATAACTTCATATTATGTATGAAAGACTTGAAGCAATATAATGATAACGAATCATATTTTCAAGTTGTTCCGAACAGCGTTTTTGGTTCAAAACACGAATTCCAAGTAGGAAATATGATATTTTTGTGGATAGTGATGTTATCTAATGCAAATTTCAGTACTAAGCTAAGGTAGAGTTTGATGTATAAATTTCAATTTTGGAAAAAATATGTCTTATTACTATTTTGCTCCAATAAAAATATAGAAATAAATGAAAGGAAAGTATTGCATACCAGGTATGGAATGATGATAGCCTTTATCACTGAGCCTCCTACGCATAGGTCCAGAGGGTGGAGGTGGGAGTAAAGGTTGATTAAGTGATGGAAGAAGTCTTGATGGAATGTTTAGTAAAGATGATGACATTGATAAAGGAACTTGATTACATGAAGGAAGTAGATTTAACGGATGAGGTGGATGAACTGCTTTGGAGGTTGGAAACTTCAAATTACCTGAATTTTTGTTATTTAAGTTACCCTATAAAAGATTTTAGCAGCAAGTAAGAAAACTTTAAAATATAAGCATCTTACAATTTAAGTGATATTAATTATGTGATTTAAAATATTGAAAAAGAAGGTGAATGATACGAAATGCTTGATTTCATTGAATGGTTGATTTCGTCAGTATTTTTCAATTCCCTGCCTCCTTTTTCAATCCCAAATCCCTAAGTAATAATAATATTTGGCCACTTTTTAGTCTGAAAGTGAGTGAGGGTTAAAGGTCAGGAAGTCCTACATATAAACTTTCTTGCTTGATCTTCTACAGAAATATTCGTTGTTATATTTTATTTGGCCCTAAGTTAAATATTTTGCTGTGTCTTTTAAAAATTATCTTCCTAGGGGTCCCTAGGAAAATAAATAGAACACTCTATATTTTTGCTATTTTATTAAAATGAATATGATTTCTTTTAAAAATTTCATTCCTGAAAACCAACAACTTAATCTAGAGCAAGAAACAACGTAAATAAAGCACAAAAAAAGTGCAGAAATGGACATACTATTGTTTTGGTTCTATAAACACAAACCTTCCTCAGTGTCTAAACAACAAATACAGCTTTTAGAAATCAAGTGAGCTTCCTGTTTATAGAGCCGAAACTATAGTATGTCCATTTCTGTACTTTATTTGTGCTTTATTTACGTTGTTTCTTACTTTAGTCTACGTAGCACAAAGTACAGCCTGTCCTCATTTTGAACAACTTAATATTTGTTCTTTAAAATTTATATTATTGTTTCATTTTTATATGCAGAACATTAGTGACTCTCAGGGTTGAGGAATTAACGTTTAGGTGCCCCGCTATTATACCATTTAAAATAGTTTTAATAAATCTTATTTTATAACTTATATTTATATAAAGTTTTTTTGTGCCGGAACCTAGAAACAAGGGTACTTCCGTATCCGTTTCTATTTAATTTATGTGATAAAATATAAAACAATGATTGAAATTTACAATACTAAAAATAGTATAATTTTTGATTTAATAATCAGATTTTCAAGTACAAGGACTTTATTTTTTTAACAGTTGGAAGGCCTAATCTTAAATATGCTAATTAACAAGTGTAGACGGTATTTTTTTTTGTTACGAAATCAGATACAAAATTGAATTTACGCTGAATAAACGTACATTGTTTTCGTAGGATTTTTAACTCCCTAAATATGGGAGAAGGGTGGCCGCAATCTGTAAAATATGGTCTTTAGGCAGGAGAGTGGTCGAAAATTTGAGTTTGGATCCTTTAATGTTTATTTCACTTTTTGGGTGCTTCACAATATCTTCAGAATGAACGAAGAGTTTAATCAAAGATAACTCCGGAAAAAGTTTTCCTCTATAATTGTTATTTTACTAATGGTCGAAAAAATTTCAAGTTGTACAATATACAAATTTTGGCACTAATTTAGTCGACGAAAATTTAAATGTTAGTATTCAAAATTTGAAAAGAATAGGCTGAATTGTTAAAAAATACGACTTCTTTGAGACGGTGATAAGCACTCAAAAAGTGAAAATAACATGAAGAAATATTGAACCGCTTTCTTGCCTATTGGGACACTATTTTCCAGATTAAGGTTACCCAAATATTTTGAGGGTAAAGTTTTTGTATCCAACGACTCCAAAAAAAATATGTTTATTTAGAAAAAGCACGCTTTTGTGTCCGACTAACTAAAAACCATCGTCTGTACAAATTAATTTACATAATTTAAGTTAAACAATCAATCGATTAAGATTGACTAATAATAAATCTCTAAATACATAATGTTTAATGAGTGCTGACATCTAATTTGTAATAAGTTTCTAAACACATTGCAAATAGTCTTGTACTGCGATCTTGAGTATAATTTGTGATTAAAACATAATGTCCCTGCATGAGAGATGGATTGCTTTTATCTTTTTCGCACATTCTTTTTGAACACTCTATCCCGGAAATGTCACGAATTAGAGGGAAAAACATTACTGCGTCATTTTGACGGGAGAGAGAAAGAGTTAATGAAGTTAGAGAAAAAGCTGAAGTAGCCTATTAGGGTTTAAATTTAATTATGAAGAAAAAAAATATTAAATATGTAATATTTGGTCAACTACGTGACGTTATACCCTAAAGTGGTTAGTTTTGTTAAAGTCAAATGAACCAATTGATTTATTAATTTAGTATGAGAAAGTTTATTTCATAAAATTCGTGGTTGGTTTACATAAAATTTTACAAATAGTTTAAAAATACTTTTATAAGTAAGGCATAATGTAGCCTGAATGAAATATTATGTAATATGTACTACAATAATTGTAAAAACCATAGACAGAATGTCCGTAAAGTTTGAAAACTGTCAAATATTTCGAAAAATTGGATCAAAAACCTAAAAATAGACGTTTCAAATTGACCCCTGGGGATTATTGGGGGTGAAATTCATTTAAATTTGACCCCCGAAACTCCTCCCTAAAGTTGAATGGAGAAAACTTCAAAATCTAAAATGGGAATAAATGCACATGCACATTTGAATTCTACTTTAAAAAAGAAAAAAAAAACTAGTTTCACCTGCAGTTTAATTTTAACTTTGGATCACAGATGGCTCTCTAATTGCAAAATGAAAAATGGGTATAAATTGTTTAAAATAGATAGATCACTGAATTCATTTTTTGAAAATATTTTATATGAATTTTTTTAGGTTTGTGATCCGATGCATTTTTCTCGAAAACTTTAATCCTTTTCATGTTTTTCTGACACTCAGTATACCACTGAAAAGCGCGTAAAGAAATTTACGATGAGTAACACTTAAATATTTCTAAATTATAATAAAAAGTAATTATAAAATTTTCCAAATAATAGTACGATTTGTGAAAAAAAGTTCAGATGTTAACAATTAATTGAATAAGTTAAAAGAATTCTGAAATAGCAATATTAAAAGGTAAGTAGGAAGATTATTCGATATTGATAATAATTCGCATTGCATTAGATCGTAGTTCGAAAAAGGTATAAAATTGTTTACTAACCATGTCTAAATTTCCAGATGAAGTAGTTTTCATGTGCAAATGTTCCATCATGGCTTGAAGCCGATTTTTCTCTTTGTCTAGCTGCATTTCCAGTTGAGAGACTACTTGCATTTGAACACGGGCTTGAGCTGTGCTTCGATCGTCTAACTGATGTTCATGATTTAAATGTCTGCGTATAAAATGGCAATTTTTTGTGAATTAAAAAATATTATTTTTTAAAAAATATTATTATTACCCACCAATACCCCATCAAATACCCACCCCCAATTAAGAGACAGAAACAGAGAGCCGGAAAAGTTCTGTTGCTTTAGATGAGCCAGCTGTGAGTGCTGAAACTACCCTCAGTATTTTTGGCTACCAGCCTAATTAAAACTACAATAGGTATAGTGGGAAAAAAAACACGGAAAAAAATCTTGGAAAAAACCACTTCAGAAGAAAGAAATGGAAGAAACACATTTTCAAAAGTAAATATCAAATATTAAAACAGTTTTTTAGCAGTTTATAGTTCCAATCTAGTTTAAACAATAGTATTAATTTTCGTTATTTTTTAATAAGAGAAAACTAAAAAGCATCAATAAGAAAAAAATTACTTAATGAGTTTCTAAAAGAAATTAAAATTGCTGTAGTGTGTAATTATTTTATGTAAATGAGTATAGTGAAACCTAATTTCATAATTATATAAAAAACTGTTAAATGATAGTCAAACTTTGTTAATGATACTTAATTTACAAACCACATACTAAGCACATTCACCTATATGCACTTACGCAATTTAAAATTTTAAATAGCATACTAATGTTTATAAACAAACATTGTTAAGGATGATAACTTAAATCAACTCGCAAATAATATGATATATAGACTTTTAAAATTGTGTATGAAACCAAAATAATAATAATAATAATTTGATAGAAATTATTTAATAGTTTTTGAAAATAGATATAAAAAAATTAACTATTTATACTATATTAAATTTGTTTAAATTTAAGCTACATTTACAATACTTCTAAACAATTAAAGTGGTCTTTTTTAGTTTCTACCATTTCGTACAGTTTCTTCCACATAGTTTTTGCCATTCAATCCTTTTTTTTTTCGTTGGAAACATTCTATAGCGCAAATAGTGCAAAATTCAGATTTTGCGTCAATTTTGAGTTACAATGTTCTAGAATTTTGGGAGGAAACTTACTTAAGAAAATCTTGATAATCATCGCAGAAAGTTTCGCATCCTGGCCATTTACATACACCATGTCCAAAAAGAAGATGATTTTGTGGGTCTTCTTTAGGAGTAGCTGTTCTACGACTGGATGGTGGAGTTATAGAAGGTGATATAACATTTTGCTGGCCATTTTGTAGTTGAGGTGTTGGACCATGATGATTGCCATTTGTTATATTTGGTTCTTCATTATTTTTCCATGAAGTGGCATTGGAATCTGGCTTTTCATCTGTGAAAGAAAAGTTTGTCACCTTACCGCATGACGAACGTAAATAGATTGAAAGATGTCATTTATATAAGAAAGTTTTTTTTGACACTATAGGCTTCAAAATTTTTTTCACTCTTAATTTATTTGTATGTAATTTAATTTTTGACTTTAAAAAAAATTCCGTTCTATAATTGCTTATATAATCCAGCTTTCAAACATTAAAAACAGATTTTTAAATTACATTTCAGTATCTTCCGATTGCTGTTTTCTACTTGTATTTAAAATCTTGTGTCTTACAACATATATTATATTATAAAATAATTTTGACATTATTATTATTATTAAATTAATTTTAAAATTTATTTCAAAAATATTGTAAAAATTTATCAAAGATTTGAAACGTTTGCATTACTTCTGCACAAAAATTCTCAAACTTTGTTGATTTTAAGAGAATTCAGGGACAATGGGTGGTTTTTGTCCTTTTATTAATTTAAGTAATGCTTTTTTTTAAATTTAGTGTAATATAAAATTGATTTCGAAAATAAAGCAAAGCTCATAACATCACATATAATGGAAGTTTGTATATGAAGAGTAAATAAAAAGCATAAAATATTAAAAAAGGAAAAAAATTTAAAAATATTTAAATTTAATTTTTTTTCATTTAAAGAGTACATTAATTTTTTACGTACAAAATAAGATTCCAATTAAATATATTTAGAATACAATAAAGATTCTTACCTTTAAGGTGATCGCTAAAAATTATGTTCTGCCGTAAATACAATAAAATAGCTTACCTCTCTTTTTACGTAAACTGACAGTAACGTGAATTGACTTTCACGCGGTCTATCATATCATAATGAACGTTTGTTTAAAAAAATAAAAGAAGTACAAATGAATTACCTAATATATATAGAAACAATGAGAAAAATCTAGTCTAATGAAAAACTAAAAATAATATGAATAATAAATGAGTAAAAGTATTTCATAAAACAATATTTTTAAAATTGCATGGATAAAAATGGAATCTTTTTAAATATTGGAGCTCTATCTCAAACACAGGAGTTAATTTTTTGCAAAACCAAATATTAATGAAATATATGAATATAAACTAAATACTAAATAGATTTTTTATTTTAATATTTTTCATAGTTATTTTTTATTTGGTTGATATACAAAAGTTAAACAACAAAGCAAATAGTATGCTTTTAATATCGTCAAATAAAATAAAACTTTAAAAAAATGTTGCAAATGAAAAACTAAGTTTTTTGACTATTGGATCTTTATGAATACAGGATGAACTGGAAGAAATGCTCCTTTGTTGCATAGTTATCGTTCCATGTACAAAATCTAAATACGGAAATGCGTTAGTGGGTATATCAATATCAATGCATAGCCCCAAGAAAATTTCTCTATATAATTTTTGTTTCTAATTTCTTAAAATATATTTTAAAATTAAGTAAATTAAGTTTTTGTTTATCTATTTTCATTAAAAATTGCAAATGAATAATATTTGAATATTGTTAATAATTTTATAAATATATTAAATATTATAATTTCTTTATTAGAAACAAAACAAGAACAAAAAGTGGTCATTAATATTTTAAATCGAAAGAATTTTTATTTAATAACTAAAAAACAATGTATATTCGGGTGTTTTAAATCAACTGACCGTGAGCAGCATTGGAATTGTAAGGAGTCGAAGCCATAAAATACTGTCGATGACTCTGTTGGAGTTGTTGTATCAATTGGTGTTGTTGAGCAGAAAGTTGTTGTAACTGAGCTTGCAATTGATGACGAGATCCTTTCTCAGAATTCATTTCCATGGGCAAACTTGTTAATTGTTGTAATACTTGATTTTGTTGAAGCATGTTAATTTGAAGCTGTTCTTGCAAATGAGGTATAAAGGATTCCAGCTGCTTCAGTTGTTGTTGTTGATGCTGGTAAAGAAAAACATACATCAGGATGTTAAATTCTTATTTTTTTTAAATTTAAATTTATCATTATCATTTAGTTCCAGAAAAAGGTGGCATAGAGCTGCACCAACTACTTTTGTAACTCTGTTAATATCTAAATATTAAATCATCAATCGTTTTGCTATAACTTAATTTAATATAAACTACAAAGTATTAATAATTTCAAAATAGATGTTTCGTTAAATTACATTGCTAAAAATTTATAATACACATTTATAAATTTTAACCATATTTTATAAGTCTATGGAAATTATTATTTTGTGAATTAAAGCAGGAAATTCTAAGTAAAATTTTTAATATTACTATTATTAATTAATATTAGTATTATAAATTAATATTAATTACTTTTATTATTATTTATTATAAGTTAATATAAATTATATTAATATCTTTTAAATTAGGATAAATAAATAAATTATTATTTTGTAAAATAATATTAATTATTTTTTCAGACTTTAAATTAAAATTACTTTTTCGGCATTGACTTCTCTACTAAGTTCAAAGAGCCAATACCTAGAATGAAAAGGCTTTATTTAAGAAGAAAGGGGAGTTCTGCCCTCCCTCAGTTTTAGAAATTTATGAGCACCTTTTTCAGGGTTTCATTAAGGGTTTCAGGATTTCATAAATCATGTTAAGAACTTTCGAAGGCATTTCGATCTATTTGTTTCCCCTCCTTCCTGGTAAGTGAACAAAACTAAATATTCAGTTTTAGTATTTTGGCTTTACTACTAGATCATACCAACATATACCGTAGTTTCGAAATTTAGGCGACAAGTTTTCGTTTTGGAATTAGCTAATGATTGTGTTGAGATATGTATGAAACCAAAGTACATCACATGTTCTAAGTTAAGACAAATTTCATGTAATTACGAAAAATTAAATGTTTGATTCCATTCTAAATATCAGTTTGTCTGATTATTACTTTATAAAATTTACTCACATTATAAAATATAAAACTCAGGATTAGATCTATTAAATTACTAAATTTTAAATATTTAAATTTTTGATAGTAAAATAGTTCATAATACTGCACAAATATGTTTTTAAGTTTTTGCAACTCTTATATTTTAAGATATTTTGCTTTAAATTCATGTTTAATTTGTAATATGTGTAGTTTAAAAATTAATTTTTTTTCTAAAAATACTGCCATCGAGCTAACACTGTATAATCAAGACCAATCAGATCTGTTACAGCGGACTGGACAGGTGATGTTGGCAGTACTTTAGAGACCCCTGTTTTAGAGTATGTACAATAAATTTGATTTTATTTATAGAAATTTTTAGTAGAAATGTAGTGAAAGGGAAATAAAATATTTCACATTTGTTAATGTTTCATGTGTGTTGCATTTAAATCTTTTTTAAAACTTTTTTTTCCAAAATAGGGCATGGATAAAAGATCTGGTAAAATTACCTTACGGTATGGTAAAAACATTTCTGATTAAAAAGCCTAATTCTGGTAAAACCAAATTATATGGTATTTAAATCATTCATTAGATAACTTTTCAGTTTATATGTTAACGGTTCACTGGAAATTCTAGCTTTTATAATTACAGTTCTTATCTCTACACTTTAGTAACAAATGCAAAATTGAAAAGTAAATTTAACTGAATAAATGTTTTTATGCCATGATCTAAGGTATCGAGATAAAATTACCGAATTTTACCACATTAACTAAATTTTAACACATATTATAAACAGTATTTTATTGTTAATTTTACCAAAAGTTTTGACTAAAGTGCTTCGGTAAAAATTATGGCACTTTTTGGTATTTTTATAGAGCTAGAAACACGGTAATTTTTACCATATTGTGGTAGTTTTGACAATGCTTTTTTTTTCTCAGTGTGGGACTTTAAACATGAACTATTCTCGAACTTCTTACATGAACTCTTAGCAAAAAAGAACCATAAAGGGAGCATCTTTTTGTTTCTGATAATTGAACAAGTATAAAAAAAGGCTATTGAAAAGATCATTGAAAATTGAGAAAGCTTAGTTTTTTATAAAATTTCTCCGGTTTAAAAAAGAGTTATGTTTGAAACGATGAAAAATTTTAATACATAGTTGTGAAAATAGTATAAATCAGTAAAAATTGAAAAGTAATTTTAAAATATCCTCTACATTTGAAAAGATTTAAAGAGAGTATACTTAGTAAGTTCACCTTATGAAAGCAATATTAATAAGACTGTCATTCATTTTTTTCAATCTTAAAGAAAATATATTTATATATTTTTTGATTAAATATTTTCAATAGCTTATTATTATGAAAAATTAGGTGAAAAATAATTTAGTGATTCAAATCAGTGTCATAACAACTATTTCAATCATTAAATTACTTTCAGAGATACAAACTAGTAGCAATTTTTTTTTGTAAAGGTGAGTATATGTTTGTGTAATAAAAATGAAAAATAAAGAAATATATACATTACTAAGCCTCATTCTTACGAACAATAAAATAAATTCGCCAAAGATGAAATAATAAAGGCTAATAAAATAAGGATAAAAATTATTTTTAATTACGAAACAAATAAAGAAGTTTGTTTGCAAAATAAAGGCTTGCTTCAAAATTGCAAAAAGTAATATAAAGTGGTAGTTCCAAATTTAGAAAAACAAAATAGGAAAATTTATCAAAAAAAATTTGGAAAATCAGAGTTTTCTAAAGTGTTAAAAATGTCTTCTTAATTCCGAAGTTTAATCTATTTATAGTGCGGAATTCCATATTCATTTATTATATTACATGATTGTACTGATTCTGTATTTATCATACAGAATCGGTGTCATTTCAGGAAAATTGGTGCAACATTAAACCCTAATATAGTACGTATAATGTGTACAAAACCCACAATAACTTCTTTCAATGATCAAATTTTTAAGTGTTAATCTTTAAAAGGACGAATTAAATTTTCTCATTACTATGAAATTAATTATTGTAGAAGGTATTTTAAGTTACGAAATCAGACACAGAAAACCTCTCCCTGATTAAACATAACTTTTTATTTCGATAGATGGATTTGTCACAAGTCTTTAAATGAACTAATTATGAAGTTCGTTTACAATTTGAAATCAATTTATTCGTTCGTCGTAAATTACTCAATAATGAAATTCGCTCATCCAAAGAGAATTCCATGCCAAAAATTTTTTTTAATAATAATTTATTATTCTTAATGATTGCCTGACTTATTAATGGTCGAAAAGTGATTTTAGGGTAAAAGGTATACAAATTTTTACACCTTCTTAAACTATGTAATTTTAAATGACAAAATACAAAATTTGAACAAAATCTGAATAATATAATTTAAAAAAAAGCCATATTTTAAACATGCATTTCTGTTAGTTTGTGACCTTAATTCATATTTTTTCCCTTAATTTGAGAAATTTCGATCATTAGAACGAAAGTTATTTAGGGTGATATCTTTGTAACCTTGAACCATAATACGCCTTTAAGCCTGAACCATAATGAACTTAATAAGGTGTATTTAACCATGTTTCCATTCAAATTGAACCATAGTATTGTGAAAAGTGTGATAATCTGGTTCAACTTTGTATCATATTATAATTGCAGCAAATTTGCTCGATATTATAGATCATACTCTGAAATTTTTTAACAGAGTACGTAATTTTACTGAGATGAGAATGCCGTCTGTTTATATATGGACTAGGGAAATTAATATTTATTCTGTAAATTCTACTATTCGCAATTTAATTGAATAACTTACTTGCTGCCTTTGGTAATAGAGAGCTTGGTGTTGCAGGAACTGTTGTATTTGGGTGGGAGATAAAAACTTTTGCATAGAACTTTGATGAGGAACCATCAAAAGTTGTGCAGCAGAGTTTAAGGGTGTTGAATCTGTCACACCATCACAGCCTTTACCGACAGTTTTGTTCTAAAAAATAAAAATAACATTTTTTAATAAATCTTGTAAACGGAATCTATGGTTATTATCATTTTTAATAATATTGTGAAACAAGGGCCGGGATAGCCTGGTTGGTAGGTCACTGGGCCTATGTCGAAGAGATCATGGGTTCTACCCCAGCCGGCCGAAGACTCCCCGTGTAGTAAATTGTGACTGATGCACGTTAAATCTGTCGGGTCACAAAGTCCTCCATGTTCCCATAGCAAATCCATACCTCTGGGGGTACTGATCCAGGAGCTCCCTTGTCTTCTGGATTGGGTTTAAAATTACAAGGTTACGGAGGTGAACATTGGTAGTCATAAACCCAGTATTGGGTCAGCTGTTCAGCGGCGGTTATAAAAATAAAATGAAATACAGTGAAATAATTTCAGACTTAAAAGTTTAGCTGTTCCATGTGTAATTAAAGGATTTCAAAAGAGAGCTTCTCTAGACTCTTTGTTGCCACAGAATGAAACAAATTCTGCCTATGATATCAAGGCTTATGTTAATCCTATAATATCAATCTGTTGCAATTCAAAAAGAAACAAAAGTTTCAAGGGAGATTTGATAAAGTTTTGAATAAATGTTAGATATGAATATCTTGTATTAATGGAAAAGGCTATAAGGGTTTGTTCACAATCGCTTTGCTACCTCAGACCAGTGTATTTTCATCAGTTGCTGTTCTAAAGAGCAAATGTTATATAAAATAACCATTAAAAAGAATTGCGGCTAGCTATATTCACAGATTTGAAATGTTACGTAATGAATAACTATTTCATCCATCGCACTAAACAAATTCACAATACCTTCGAATGTAGATGATATTTTCTCTCTATTTTTATTCTCTTCATACATTACTGTTACTTATATTATTATTTTACCTACTATTATTATTAATGCCTAGTTCTGGACCATGATCTCACTAACAATTCTATTCCATTATAGTCTATTGAGCTCGTTTGTTTTGAAATTTTTCATTCTCCTGAGATTTCTGCAAACTATTAATCTATTCCTCGGTCTTCCCTGTTTTTGTTGATCATGGCAAATGCTCATGATATTATTGGTACATTTTTATTAAGTACAGATAAAGTATCTAAGTGAATTTCATCTGTGAGTGTATTCTTTCTATATTCTGATCGTTCAGTTTCACGGCATCTGTTTCATAGCCATACGCACCTTAAATATATATTATACGTTCATAATAAGTATTATACCTCAGATAAATAGCAAAGAGCAGTAAAACAATTTTAAATCTCGTAAGGGAACCACAACTTAGCAAAGTTTGGAAGCACCTTGGACAAAAAAATTGGGGCAACTTTCGATTTCGGTTTTAGAACTATGACGAAAAAGGCAAAAATTAACACATTATTGACCGATGACGAATTAAATCGTCAATGCACTTGAAATGTCGAGTTAATTCTATATCAGACAATATTGCTTATGCATCAAATCAATATTTAGTATGTTTTACTTTACTTCTTCATTCAATTACAAAATAATAGCCATGACGTAGTAGTTTCAGTGTAAAATTGCCGGTCAACATAGTCATAAAATTAACATTTAAAAGAGCCCTCTATCGATCAATCTATTGTCTAAACCATTGTGACCAAATTTTCCAGATTGTAAATTCCTCCTTATTTTGTTAGTTCTAAATCTAAATCTATCGAAAAAAGGTATATTTATTCAAAAGAAGTACGCTTTTGTGTCTGATATCGATTTAAAATAATTTAAAATATCGATCATTAATTTGCATAGATAAGACATGCTTAATGAACCATTAAAATTGCTTCTTAGTACGTAAAAATCAAAAGTTATTCAAGATTTTACGTTAATTTTTCGTACATCGAATCTAGCATAAATAATGAAAAATAATTATATTAAAAATAAACACTTTGATGTAATATTAAATTATTTTTATTATTAACTATTACTAAATTATATAAGCTATTGACTATTTTTTTTAATTTTGCTGAATGGTGAAACTTTAATATGATTGTGATTTTATTTGTGATTTTATTTCAATAATTATAACAGACATTATATTAGGCATATAATTATATTCAAAATATAAATATAATAAAACGAAAGCTTTCTGAAATAAGTTCTCATGTGATCAAAAAATTATGCGAATTATTGAAAAATTTTGATTCGGATATTAATAACCGAAAACGACAAATAATTTTTCATTTGTTGAAAAAAATTAAGTGTTTATATAAACTAAGTACGAATTTTACAAATAATTATTAATATTAACCAAAGCCGAGAATTTATCTTAAAAAATATCCCTTACCCAAAAAAGCATGGTTGGTGTCATTGTTGAATACTCATCAATTGAAGATGGATAACGGATGGCACAATCACGAAACGACAAGCGCATTTGCTAGGAACAGGTGTCAACGCATCTTTAAAGATAAGTAAGATGTAATTGCTTTCTTTCCAGAGATTAGAAGAGATCACTATGTCTCGCCAACGTATTGCCAATGACAAAAATCAGATCATAAATCTTCTTTCTGTTTTAGCATATGGCATAAATCCAGCGAAAAACAATTCGCAAAAGTAGGGAAAAGAGTACATCAAACAAAACATTTTATCAGACACAGGCATTAGGAGCCATATTAATCGTGAAATTTGTATTACTGCATTAATGTTTATATGTGTTTGACTGTTGGAAATATTAACACTTAGGATTAAAGTCTTGAGATTGTGAGTAATGCTACTCACAAACCAACTATAACGTGATGTAAGATTTTAGAAATATGAATTATTTTCTTCTTGTAACATTCTTCACGATGACACATATTTTTGAGTAAGAAAATATCAGATACGCATCGTCACATTAAATTCGGTCATTTTAATAAATATTATATTTTGTGGAGTTCATCTGAAAAAATATATATAGTAACTTCTGATCTATTCATCAGATTTCCCCATTTTAACATGCAATCTTCATGATGCAAGAATTACATGAGAGTTAGTTTGAGAATAATGCTACTCAAAAGTAACTAATACTTGATGTATCATACGGTTACAGAAGTTTGATTTTTTTTCTTCAAAAATTCTTCACTGTAGCGTATTTTTGAACTAGAAAATGTTAATCTGAGACACAACATCACCTTAGAGTTGGATATTTAAATAATTGTGATTTTTAGTGCAGGACGAAGAAAAAAAAAACACAATAAATATTTTTTGTTCAATGATCGGATATTCACATGCTAACATATTATCTTAATTGCTCGATGATCACGTGATAGTTACTTTATGATTAATGATGCTCACAGACCAACAACAGCGTGATATAAGATTATATAAATGTAGATCATTACTTCTTTGATTATTCTACAACAGTGTTTCCCAAACTTATGACTTTTATGTACCCTTTCTAAATTTTTCGCAACGCTGTGGTGAACCACTAATAAAAAAATTTATGTATTTTTTAAAAAATATGTTTTCTTTTTTCTTTTTTGGTGCAAAGTTCTGTTAATAAGTTTATATGCATCAGTGAGAAGGATGACATTGTTTTTGCTGTGATAAAAAAATTGCACAAAAGTCAAAAATCACAACTGACTGTTGACACCATTAATTATTAAAAGTTAACTCTGGAAAAAATAGCCAATAGAAAAATACGTAATCGTAAATTTTCATGGTTAGTTTTGCTTTTAAATAAAAATTTTTGAAATTCTCGTTTGTTGAAAGATACATAATAAAGAACGTGTAACGTGTTCCCGTACCCCTGGGGGTACGCGTACCACACTTTGGGAAACACTGTTCTACAAGATAACATATTTTTTTTGCCATAAATTATTAGTCCAAGACGCAGACTTACCATGCAATCGGTCATTTTAATATTTCTGGTATAGTGAGAATAAATTAAGGCACCCTGAATAATTTTTTGATTCTAATGATCTAATTTTCACTTCCTAATATGCAATCTTAGAGTGTTATATCCTAAATAAGTTGAATACTTAATGCAAACAACATTTTAAGTTGAGAAATCAGACGCAAGAACGTATTCTTTTTTAGTGAATCTTTTTCCAATAGATTCAAAATCACAGGCCTTCAGAAATTATAAAAATAACTAAATTTTTTAATATAAAACTTTTGCACTTTGTTTTCGGGCTCCAAATCTGAATAAATAAATACCTTTTGTAGAAGATGAAGATTTTTCAATTTGATTATTGCTTCATTGCTCTATAACAGATTTGTAATAGATAAATTCGCTTCAAAAATTTTTTTTTTTGGTTTGTTTGGTTTGGTTTGTAAAGAAAATAATACCAAATTTGTATTCTTTATAACTTAGCTATGTTCCGAAATCTATAAATATAAATTTTTGTAACAAGGTTTGCATTTTTCATCGAGTATGCATCGATTAAATTCAAAAATAAATTACAGCAATACACAGACGATAGTAACGATGTAACGTTTGTGATGAATGATTTGCATTGAGCTTAATAAAATTGTTGCTTGAATAAAAAGCTTAGAACACTTAACAATTTACAAAACATCAAAATAAAACTTAGCTTAGAAAGAAAACATTAACAAATGCGTCAGAAATTAAAAATAAGATAATCCAATCAGAGAGCAATTGCTTCTAAAACTTATAAAAATAACTTTTTAAATTTTTTATTTATTTTTTAAAGTGTTTATTTTTTAAAAGAAATAAAATCAGTTAAGAATATTGTATTTGTTCTGGTTATTGGTTTTTGTTATTTAAATCTACATAATTTAAAATTGTATAAAAGTTTGCTTACCTAAAAATTAAATTTTTTCCGGCAATTTTTAAATGAAGTAATAAAAAATACTTAAAATTAAAAATTATTTTTATACGGAGTTATGTTTAAGTAAAATGATTTTCTATTAGAATGAAAAAAAAACTTTTGATTCACTTAAAAAGCTCCTGAGATATTAAAAAATTCACAGAAAGTGAAATTAACATTAAAGGAACCAAATTTTCGACCATTCGCCTCATTAAGCTAGGGAACATATTTTTCAGATTGCGACTGCTCCTTTACAAATTTTAATAGTAATGAATAAAATCCATTGGAAAAAAAAGGTATGTTTATTCAGCGAAAGTATGCTTTTGTATCTTATTCCGTAACTTAATAGTTAGCATTAATTGATTAGCATTTGAACAATTAAGATTGAACCACTTAGTGCGAGAAACTCCAATCATGTTATTCTGGGAGTTTTTTTTTAAAGTTTTACACTGAATGAAATAAGTGAAAAATCGAATTTATATATTTTAAACAAAAGCTAACGAAGTACGAGTAATGAATAAAAAACAGTTTTCAGCTTTCTTCGTATACCAGTTTCATTTTATTCTTTATTCATTTTGTATTTTTCCTATGGAGGACAATTGCATTAAACTAATTCTTTTAATAAAAATAAGGGGAACGAGACTTATAGAAAACAGAGAAAAATTTCATAATGCATTTGTCATCTTTTAAAAAAAGTAAGTTGACACACTTTTTTGATAACCTTATTGGTTTATTTTTATTCTTTTGTCGATATGTTTAAATTGGTTAAATAAATTGCCTGATATAGATCGATTGTTATTAAATTTCGTGGTTTGTTTTAAAATAAATTTTTTTTATAAGATTCTCCATTACATTTTCACCTTATCTCATAAACTAATTGAGACTTATATTTTCTTATAGCAAATTTATAATATTGATTTAAGGTTTTAATAATTAGTTTAGTAAACTGTACGAAATTAATAATTTGAGTTCTTTATATTTGACTTTTAATTAGTTTAAAGCATATTTTCATTATTTATTTTCATGCACGTTTTTGTAACATTTCAGACTTTTAGTACAATTGAGACCTTGTTTTTTCTTGAAAGGCACATTAATGATGCCTAGGACACAGATTTAGAACCTAGCGACAACCCTAAAAGGAACTTTCACCATAACAAAAAGTTACGTTCACACGAATTAGTACTAAATTTTTCACACAAGTTTTAGAATTTTTAATATACATAAAATTTACGACATTAAAACAAGTTCTCTGATCACATTTTTAATGTTCTCTTAAAGATGCATCTATATTGTTATAAATTTTTTAATACTGTTGCATCATACAAAAAGTGTAGACAAAAAGCTCACAAATATTTTATAGTTTATTAAAAAAATTTCAAACTCAAAAAATTTCATAAACTGGTGTCTCACATTTTTATTACAACTGACAATTCTATGATACAATATTAAATTTTTTTAGTTTATTTTGAGTGAAACAAAAAATTTAAGCAAATATCTTAAAATATAAACGTTGCAAAAACTTAAAAACATACTTTAATTTGCATTTAACAGCTTTCGCTATTGGTGTTTAAAAAGTTATGGTTATAAAATTAATACAAGCAATTTTAATTACAAAATAAAATCCAAAAATCCCAAAGAAACTAAAACATATGATCTAAACTTTATGCATTTATGTCTAATAGGTTATAAAATGCATCCTTACATTTAAAATAATAATAATAATAATAATAATAAATAGTCAAGGAGAGAAAAAGTCTTCTTAATCTCTGTCGAAATGGAGAGAAGTCTAATTAAGTTTTAATTAAGATAAAATCCTAATTTTTTACACGTGAAAAATAAATAATTCAATTATTTTAAGTAACACAAAAAAAAAACTCAGGTTTTTTAAAATTTTGGTGTCCTGGATCTTTTATAGATAATTCATTACCGAAATATATGTAGAAATTGTTTTAATTCAATTAAATCTTTATTTTGTTTCATGTTTAGAAAAGGAGACAATTTTATAAGTTAATCAGATAATTAATTAAAATACCGAAAGAATATAATTACATCTTTAAGAGTTGGATCCTGCATTTAAAAACTGGGAAAAGCTTAAGCAAAATTAATCTAAAAGGAACGCAATGATACGAGGATTAAGAAAGCATCAAAGTAAACAATCAGAAACAGGTGCAATATATTTTAAGTATTATTTTGATTCCATGATTTTCAACATTAATAAACGAAATGGTCTATTTAAAATCATTCGAAATTAAATTATTTTTGAAAAAATTCCCTTCGGGTCATTAAAACAAATAGCAATTTCTATATAACCGATAATTCGCGTAGGAAATTGTATTTATAATGGAATTCTTTTACCATTAGAATTCCATTACAAAGACAGGTGTAAATTTTAAACAATTAGCCATGTTGAAAGAATAAAAAAGAGAAATTCTCTTTATTTAAAAAGACATTTCATCGATGTGCTTAAAGAATTGAAAACGAATTGTCGCCTCCATATGTTCTCATTGCATCTCCAAAATCCGCTTTATTTGTAAAATTCGTTTATTTTCTTCCCTTATTGGTCCGATGCTCCGTTATTATGTTATTAAGTTTAATGTGTTCGCCTAATGACATCTATTTGCAAAATAGGCGTGATTAGGGGATGGTTGCGACGTATTTGCAGAGCATTTATTCCCTTATTTTTCTATTAGAACTACTGATTTGAAGATTCAACAGTTCTTCAAACGATTGTAGGAGAGGGTGTTGAAAGATTCAGAGTAAATTGTTTTCAAATTTAGGCGATGCCTTTATTTACTTAACATGTTTCGGTGCGTCTGCTAATCGGCTCTTCGATATAAAATTAGCGGTATCAAAACGAATTGTGTCGATAGGAGAATTCTAATTGAAAAAAAAAAACTTCATAAACTTTAAAAATTGATTTATTTTAAATGTTTAAGCATCATTGGAAAGAAATAAGAAAAAAAGTATTTGTTTAATTCGTTGTTGGAAAAATTGAATTGGTTGATGCAGTTTTTAATCAATAATGCCTTAAATTGCGAAGTTCACTGTTCTTTTTAATGATGTGTTTTGCTATTTAATTTGTTTCTTTTTATCCCACCGTTTAAGATTTGTTGGTTTAAATTTAAACAAAGTATTCTTTTTCAACATTTACTTTTATACCGAGGTGAATTAAATAACAATTTGAGAGTAAAAAACATTTATCGGACTAAAATATCTTCTAATTATTTTTTAAAAATATTTTCTACTTATTTTTATACATCTTCTTCTTAAATTTTAGAATATCTAGTGGTTAGGCCACTCTAGGATTTCGGTAAAATCGAAATTTTTTTAAACATCCTACTTAAACGATATTACTTTCAAAAGTAGTAACGATATTAAACGAAAACGAAGTAATCGATATTACTTTCAAAAATTCATTTGGTTCAGTTGTATGAAAATATGCATGAAACTCCAAATTGTGTGGAAACGGTTAACCTCGAGATTTGTACACTTTGGATCAAAAATCTAAGACACGTATGAAATAATGCGCATTTAACATACACTTAAGAAATATTTTTAAAAGATGAATTTAATGATACCAAATTCGAGCCCCAATCTTTTATTCAAAAAAAATTATTAAATCGATTGACATACAGGATATTGTATTGTGGTGCATAAATGCGCTGCAATTGCAAAATGAAGCTTGCGTAAAAATTGTTTAAAATACACTGAGAGAAATATGGTCAGAACAACCAGAAAATAGTAACATTTATCGTGTTTCTGGCTCTATGAAAACACTAAAAAGCTCGGTAATTTTTGCCGAAGAGCGTTTGTAATGATTTTCGTAAAATAAACAATGAAATATAGTTTTATATATGTGTGACAAAATTTTGTAATTGTGGTAAAATTTGGTAATTTAATCATGATACGTTAGAGCATGGCATAAAACCCATTTATTCGGCCAAATTTGCTTTTCAGATTTGCATTTTTATTAAATGTGTGGCAATAAGAACTATAATTTTGAAAAGCAGAATTATCGGTAAACCGTTACTATATGAATAGAAAAATTACGAAATTGATGATTTAATTACTGCATATTTTGGTTTTATTTACCAAAATTATGTTGCTGTTTTTTTTAACCAGAGATATTTAATTACCATGTAGTGCGGTAATTTTACCTTAATTCTCCGAGAAGAGATATCTCAAATATATGTCATGAAAAAAATCACAAGTAAATAAATAAACTAGTTCGGTATTACGAAAAGATGAGTTCATGAAGAAAAACATATAAAAATTTAAGCTAAAAGCATTAATAACAAAATAAGTCCAAATTTGTGTTTCCAAAACTCTTCGTTCGGAATTTATAACAGAAAGCGTTTCATTTTTTTTTGAGAAAAATCATGTTTTTCTTTATTATTATTATACTTTATTATTTTGACTGAAACTCTCAGAATACTAGTTTTATAGCAAATGGCACCTTTTTAGAGGGGGCTGTTAAAGAAATTCAAACTTTTGTTTCTAATGAGATCTCTTTAATTTGTCTATAGAAAGAACTCCTCTCGCTACAAAGTATAAGGCCAGTTGCTGGAATAATAACAAAAAATGCAGCATTTTACTCTTTCACCTGATTCCCCTTCTCTCGCCCGCCCAAGCCCAAAACCTTCTTAAATATTGACCCAATACTCTTACATCAAATAGTTAAACCTCGTAACAGACACTGCTCCAAATGAATGGCGTGGGGAGTTCTTTCTATTGACAGACAAGAGTGTACACCCTTTCTATGACGATTGTAGCATCTGGCTACAAGCAAAAGATCCCAGGTTCGAATCCATCAGGCATCATTGAACATTTCACTTCCACTTCATATACAGTAGTGACAACGAACACACAACTCTCTCCATCGTTTTGCATTCGTTAAGCGTTTCGTCTTGGTTCGACAAACAAACCATCTAAGTCTCAAACAACGACAAGGCCCAGAGTGAAACAGTAATAATGTTAAATTACGGTCAGTGGCTATATATTTTACGAGTAAAAATTTTCGAGCAGACCTGTATTTTTATGGTCCCAGCTTGTTTTTGCCTTTTGCGTTCTTTCTACCACATTCAAACTAACTGAAAACAGGGCAAAAGATCTATGCTTTAAGAATGTGTCAGGGTGTAATGTAATGCAAATTTATTTTTAAAGTCAATGACTGAACACTTTTTGCCGGTAAATAGCAGTGAATTTTTTTAGAGTGCAGTGCAGTACTTACTGAGCTTTGACTATCTTCTGAATCTCCAGTTCCATTAGCAGCTGATGAGGACCCTCGACTTGTTTGTGTGGTGGATAAATTGATGGCAGAGTTCTCACTATAACTCTCGTGGCTCATCATCTCCTCATCCTAAAAAAATAATTGTATTTAGTTAATTACGTTAATTAATCCATCACTTTTATCATTTGTTACATAAGCAGAGTGTCCTAAATTAAAATCACGGCTTTCAAGAAATTAATGACAAGAAAACGGTTGAAATTTTTTAAAAATAAAAATAAGAATAATAATTTTTAGAGCAAGTTCATGTGCTGGCTATAAATTTTTCTTTGGTGAATTCCTGGTTTTAGTTTCCCATTTATCTACAGATAGCGCTCCGAGTTCTCTCAAACCTTCTTTCCGGTGTGTTTTGATACACGTGTTGGATTTTTTTAAGTAACATGAATGTTTATAGTTGTGGGTTTGAATACTTATAAAATGCTAGCGGGTTCTAGTATTTGTGTGTCAATATTCTTTTGCTCAATTGATAGGTTTCTGGAATGTAATTTGGCTTACAGCTGATGGTGAACATTATGAAAATGTTATAAGACGACTTTTGTTCATTAAAAGATAGCTAAAGGTTCAAATTCGTAATTTGAAGTGCAATTATTTTATTAAGGAGTTAGTTATCAGCAGTGTTATCAATTAAAATATCTATTGAAAAAGTTTAAAAAAAAAGCCAGAAATACTAGAAGCAAAAATTTGTGCCTCATGCATTATTTTTCTGCACGAATTATTTATTCAAATTAAATCATTTTTCTGTTATAAATCTTTAAATACAGTTAGACTGATTAAAGATATCCTGTATATAAGTTGCTTACATTACATTAAATAATCCCCGCAAAAAAGTTTCAGATGAAAAATATTTAATTTAAAATCTAACAAAAAAACAAAAAGTAAAATGGATTTTCTAGTAATATATTGCTTGTACGGAGCTCTTAGTTTGAAAACGAGCTCATGCTCAATTAAAGAGTTTTCAGATAATCGTGGTAAACGTTAACTTTAAAATGTAGTTAATCGGCTTGTGGATTTTTTTTCATAAATATATTGTCTGTGTCGTTGTTTGGAAACGAACTCGATCCATTCTAAAAAGTTTGAAATAATGATGATAAACGTCTCATTGGCAATATAAAAATAATCAATTTTCCAAATATTTTTTAATTAGTATTTTTTTATATAAGTTTAAAAGCCATCTACTTCAAGTACTTGTAAAACAATCGTGAAAAATAACTGATAAAAATGTAAAAAATAGACTTTACTGGTTTGTAAATAGCGCATTACGTACTGTGCATAGTTTCAAAAACAGCTTAATATACTGCAAGAAGATTTAAGATACTTGTTTAAAATATGTAACATGAGGTGCCTAGTTTCAAATCTAGTTTAATTCACCATATAAAAATTCGAGACAATGGTCAAATTTGGTTTACTTTAAAACGTGAAGAATATATTGAAATGGTTTTTCATTAGTACATTGTTTTAAAACCAACTTAATTAATGGAATGGAGATTTGAAATAATTGTCAAAAACGTACTAGTTTAAATTGTAAAGAATAGACTACACGGAGTTTTAACTAGGACATTGTTTATATGAGGTTCATAGTTTCAAAAGTAGCATAGTAGTATCCGCAGCATGGAAATATGAAATAGTCATTGAAAATGCTTCACTACAAAATGTAAAGACAAGGCTCTACTGTTTTATTATTTTTCAATTAATTAATACATTCTTTATATAACAAGATTATTTTTAAAACAGCATCTATCCCCTCATAATTAATAATTTTGGAAAATTTTGGAAAAATTGTAAAAAAGTGTTTCAATTTATTATACGAAAAATAATATGCAAAGTATTGATGTGTTTTTAATTCGTCTCATTCTCTGGTTTTAAAATCGTCCATTTCTAAAATGTTTTAGGATAGTCATATAAAACCTTTCACGATAAAATATAAAAGTTTTTAGTGTTTGTGGGTAATTTTCAATAAGTCTCTATACAGTAATTCAAAGAAAATTCTCTTGATGTATTTTTCACCTAAATTTTTTTTCTTCTGTAGATGACGATGAATTCAAAATTAAAAAGGACGCCTATGTTAGTTTTCCACTTCATTTTAAAGAGTTATGTTGAAAAAATGTAACCAAATAAAATAACAACAATTCAGTTATTAATATTTTTTATTTTATTTTGGAGACCAGACGTTTACTTATATAAAAGATTTCAATAAAGGAAAATTATAAGGCTTATTTAAATTTCTACAGGCGAAAGTTCAACTTATTTAAAATATCTTATGTTTACCTCAAAAAAGTGGGGGAAAAGCAATACGGCAATTCGCGAAAATTGATTCAGACAAAAAAGAATCATTTAAAAAATTTTAAGCCATATAAAGAAAAGTAAGCATTTGAAATAGAATTGCTAACTAAATTTAACAGTTCTTAAGTTTTTTTTTCGGAATTTATAGATTTTTAATACGTGTACATAATTTAAATTAAAGAACCATTTTGTTTAGAACTATTGGATAATAATTGGTTTTAATAATTTTTTTAAAATTACAAAATCGATTTTTAAGCAAAAAATATATTTCAAAAATTATATATATATGGAATTTTTTTTCTTCATTTGAATCATAAATTCTCAAGTATAACTAGGTTAAAGCATTAGTTTTTTAAATGTTTATTTGAATTTTTAAAATTCGACTTTATTTTAACATCACGTTTATTGTTAAAAATTATTACTCTAGCGAGTTTAATAGCAAGTGCCCTCAAATTTTTATCTTTATCAGAAATAAGAACAATAAAAATAATAGATTTTTGATTTACAAAATTAATTTAGTCACTCAGTATAAGATCCAGTGAAAAGTATAATTAAATTTTTTTTCGGGTTGTCTTTTTTAAATTTTCTTTAAATAATATTTAAAGTATAGCACATTACATAATATAGTGTATTAAATAATATACTAAAAAGATAACACAAAATGTGCATTAATTTCAAATAGCCAACAATGAAAATAGTTTTAATGTGTGAACATCAGATAAAGATATTATAAAAACCAATTTTTTTTTTTTAACTAATAAGTAAAAAATATTTTTTGGAAAAGTTACAGTTTTCAATTTTCCAACATTCGCTAGTAGGCATAATTATTTTTACTCTATAAAATTGTCGAATGAATCCGCTTAGAATTAAAGCTGTTTTGATGAAAGTTAAGGTTATTAATTTTAAAAGAAATGTTTTTACAAGATTTTTAAAACTAAACAATTTGAGTATGTTTAGTCAAAAACATTTTACCACAAATTATAGCTCGTAAACTGTGTCGCCATCTAGAGGAAGGTTTAATCAACAGAAGTTGTTTTCGTGGAGGGAATTCTAACTTATTAATTAAGCCGATTTCGTTCACGAATGGAATATCGAGAAAATATAAATCAATATCGAGAAAATATAATTCAATATCGAGAGTATATAATTGAAACTAATAACTTTTTCATTGCAGAAATTAAAAAACCTTAATTTTTTAATTTATCCCTTCATTTATTTAACAACCAATATTCTTATTTAAGTTAACAATTAACATCGTAATTAAGTAACATATTCGATGTAAAGAAATTTTAAATACATTCAAAAATATTAAAAAAAAATTAATAATTTCTTTGCTTCTTTAATTTTACTCAAAAAGCTTTTTGAAAAAAGAAATAAAAAAAGAACCTCTCAAAAAAAAAATTTAACTATTTATTTTAATAATTAAATATTTCATATTTGATTTCGGTCAGTAATGAATTTATTCCATTATGAATGATATATTGTCACGGAAAAGAATAATTAATTAAAATAAAATGTTTAGACATTAATTAATCATTCTGTAAGTGAATGATAACGTTTTTTAAATTCAAATTTTAAGAAAAAAAAAAAGAGATGGAATAATAATAATTAAAAAAAAAGCGAGCTTAGATAAATAGTAGAAATAAACAAACTAAAATGATACAAATGCAGAACTTAGTATGTTTATTTCGCTTTTATCATGTTATGTATTTTTAATCTTAATTAATAAATAATCACTGAAAGATACGGACATATTAATAACAAAATACATGTATGATACATCCATATACGTCGGGATAGTACTGGGGTAAGTGTAACCAGCTATTAAGCAGGTTTTTCAGGTTTGAACTCAAGGAATAGCTGAGAGCTCCTTCATTTATACACTATTTATATCATGTTCTATTTCCAAATCAATTGTGGTAATCGATGCTTTTGAGAAAACTCGTATCCACCAATAAAAGAAAATAGTAATCTCTTCATTTTGACAGATTGTTCACTTGGTGCATTTCCCAAGAAACGGCTTCGTCAAAAACGAAGAAAAATTGGTGAATATTGAGTAATCTATTTTTTTTCTTACAGTGAGTGTTTTAATTCTCTAAACAATTTTTCCTTAGAAAATTTTGACAGAAAGGGGAGTCTTTTTTCTCTGTGTTAACCGACGGGATATTGTAAGTGCAAAATCTCCTTACTCGTTAAGCAACTAATTAATATTTCTGAAAAATTTTGCTACTAATACGGACATATTAATATATTTTTCTTCATTCTTTATTTGATGTTATACATTGGTGTGTAAAAGTCTGTAGTCAAACTCAGTAATGTAGATTGCCAATTTAAAATGTAGTTAAATAATGCATAATTTTATTCTATTTTAAAACTAATTTAGTATGTTTATCAAAAAAAAGAAGAAAAAAAAGAAAAAGAGAGTCAGCGTTTTGAATTGAATATAATTTCCTTTCTGTCATGAATTGAATAAATTGTGGTTTTCGTGTATTGGATGAAATTTTTTTGTTCATAATAATAAAATTTAGTTAAAATACACTATAAACTAATAAGCATAGGTTTAATATATTTAATTTCTGAATCCTAATCGTAATTTTACATGCTATTAATTTAATATTCACATTTTTTTTTGTAGAATTTGTTCTTGCATGATTTGAAATATGAAAAAAAAGAAAAGAGAGGAATATTGAATTGAGCTGCATGCAATTATTCAAATTTTCTTTATTGCAATTTCTTTATTGCAATAAATTGCAAGAAAAATAAAATTGATAAATATGGTGAAATTAAACTTA